TGAGGGATGTCCCATTCTGATATCGATATTGGAAGTAATTCGATATCGGCCCAAAAACACTGTACCGGATTATATCGGACTCCATCAAAAATCTCCGATATAAGCAGTCCATTATGGTTCATATTTTTGCAACCAATGGTTAATTTTTTTTTTTAAAATACTTACTGTTATTGGCTCTAGTTCTCCAATTGAGTAATATCACTTGATCAAGCCATCTTCTTTTTTCTGATTTAACACAGTGTAGTAATTTGATGTTTTTTAGCTTTGGCTGACATGTTTTGGCCGGAACTTCCGCCTTCGTCAGAGCCACCAGCTGTTCGTGGCATCACTTTTGTTTATGTGTGGGCAGCAGAGGATGATGTCGCCCTCTGCTGCCCGCAATCATCCTCTGCTGCCCGCATCCTTCATGCTGATAACACAGTCCCATGTGTGATCCAACGTGTAAACATCGTTGTCTCTGTTCATGGTGTTACGTCTGCGTGCCCTAATCTCTTTCGCTTCCTTAATCCATCTTGTGTGTTTTTGTTGTTCCGTGTTTATTAAATTGAATTGAATTTGAATTGAATTTGAATTTATTCAGTCAAAACATAATAATAATATAATCAATAAAACATTACATTACATTACATTACATTTAAAGTGACTGAAAAGGCTCAGGCCGAAGCAAAATGCTTATATTTATGCCTGACCTTTTTAACTAATTAAATAAATTAATCTACCCCTTTAACACAAATATGTACAATTTAAGCAAAATAGAAAAGAAGAAGAGAAATATACACTATTCAGTCAAATAAGTTCACAATACTCTTACATTTACAGCACAACTTATAAACTCTTGTAACCGTCAAAAATTATCTTCAAAACCATCCTTTTAAACAACAAAAATGTACCACAATTACATTTACACTGGCATTATTCCATAATTTAACCCCCACCACAGATATACATTTCCTTTTAACTTATTTTTTTGCCAAAGGAACAATACATTTATTAATATCTCTAAAATCATACTTAGTTTCTACACAAGAAAAAAAAATGTTTGTATACTTTGCGTAAGTAACTTTAATTTAGCTTTATACATTATTTGCATTATTTTATAGTAAACTAAATCATTAAATTTCATAAAATGTGATTTTAAAAGCAATGGATGCATATGTGCCAAATAATCTGCCTTATTAATAATACATATTGCACGTTTTTGTAAGAGAACTATTGCACTAACGTTTGATTAGTCAGCTCCCAGACTTCCACACAGTATGAAATGTAAGGTAGTATTAGTGAACAATAAATGAAATGTAACGCTGCATAATTCAACATATGTCTTGATTTGTACAATATTGCTATAATCTTAGAACGTTTCCCTTTAATGTAATACACATGCTGTCTCCATTTCATTTTATGATCAATAACCACCCCCAAAAATTTAATTTCTGTCACCCTTTCAATTTCAACATTCCATATTTTTAAGTTACTTTCCCTGTCAAGTTCCTTTTGATTACCAAATATCATAACTTTTGTCTTTTTTAATTTGAGTGATAGTTTATTAATATCAAACCAAGTCTTAAGGATTCCCAATTCTTTTTCTATTAAGGGCAAAAGTGTCTGTAAATTATTACCTGAACAACATAAATTTGTATCATCTGCAAAAATGACAAATTTCAATAAATTAGTGACCTTACAAATATCATTAATGGAAAGTAAAAAAAAAAAAGTTTTGTTCCAAGAACAGATCCCTGGGGAACACCACAAGTAACCTTCCTAAATTTTGAGTTTGTATTATTGATTTCTACATATTGCTTCTTATTGTCCAAATAACTCCTCAACCACGAATAAGCCACTCCTCTTAATCCTTCTCCATTTTTTAAAATAATATACTGTGATCAATAGTATCAAATGCTTTTTGCAAATCAATAAAAATCCCAACAAAATACTCATCATTTTCCCTGGTCTCTGTTATTTTTTCTACCATTTCCATAATTGCATATGTAGTCATTCTTTAGGCTCTAAACTCGTATTGGTGTTCACTAAGTAACCCATATTTTTCAATGAAAAGATCCAGCTGTTTTGCAAATAATTTCTCAAATATTTTTGAGAACTGAGGAAGTAGGGACACTGGCCTATAATTATCAACACAATGTTTGTCTCCATTTTTAAAAATTGTTTTTATTTTAGCTATTTTCATGCTGTTTGGAAAAACACCTTTTTGAAAGGATAGATTACAAATAAAAGTCAGAGATTTTACAATAAATTCAATGACCTCTTTAATTTTGAACGTATCAATAAAATTAATATCAGTGGATTTCTTATTTTTAAGTTTTCTAACAGTTTCTATTATATCACCGCCGTTGATCCCTCCCAAAAAGAATGAATCTTTATTATCCTTAATAAGGTGATCAAACATATTTAATGTTTTATCACAATTTGGAATTTGTTTGGCCAAACTTTTGCCGACATCAGCAAAATAATTGGTAAATTCTTCAGCAACATCTTGTTTATTGTCCACTATATCACCACATTTATTTATAAAATGTCTAGGAAATTCAGTTTAATTAATGTTTTTATTGATAAGATCATTTATAATATTCCACGTCGCTTGAATATTATTTTTATTTCCTTCTAATAATGTATTATAGTGCTCCTTTTTTGTCTTCTTATGATAGAGGTCAACATATTCTTATACTGTTTATATGTTTTTTCACTTTCACTAGTTTTTAATAGTAAATATTTCTTGTACAGTACATTTTTTCTTTCTGCATGCCTTTTGTAAACTCTTAGTCATCCATGGTTTTCTGTTACCATTTTTCTTCCCCTGACATTTTCTAATAGGACAGTGTTTGTTATAGAGATCTAAAAATATAGACAAAAATGTATCATATGCCAAATTCACGTCCTCCACATACATATAATCCCAAACACAATCTGCGAGTTCTACCTTTAAAGCCTCAATTCTTTCTAGGGTCCTAGAATTATGATTTGTGTGCTGTCCCAGTCCACTATGTGATTTCCCCTTGTGCAATGGTCCATTACTGCTGATTTTTACATTGAACTTTCCAGCCGAAACATGTCAGCCAAAGGTAAAAATAAAATCTAATTACTACACTGTGTTAAATAAGAAAAAAGAAGATGATTATGAATCAAAACACAGAACGAATATTCAGAAGACTTGATCAAGCCTTTCATACATTCCACACTAGGAATTTAAATAGGTAAAAGTATGCATGATTGAGTGCTGATTTCGAATCGGATTGATATCGGAAGTGAAAACGTTTTATCGGGACATCCCTATTTCTACTCCCGTTTGTTATGTGCCATGGATTTCACGTATGATGTCCGTGAATTTTAAACACACGTTCTAAAGCTAACAAAGCACTCCTTTTCGAACAAGGGCAAACATTATTTTAGGTTTTGTACGAAAATACGTCCAGGACTAAAATTGCGCTTCACCAAATTGATGTCATTGAACCAGAAGTGGAGAAAACAGGAAAAACGTCAGTAAGTTCAGCAAACTTCTAATCCTTCCCTCAGGGGGAAAGAACCATCATAAATCTGGCCATGTGGTAATTAGCAGCTACGCTAGGGAAGAGGAGATTCTGTGGTGATGTCATGTACACAACAAGTCATGCTAATTAAAAACTTTTACAAGCTGATAAATCTCAGTTAGTGACCGGCGTGGTCTCATGGATAGGACATTGCAAACTTCCAAGTCAAATCAGCGTCTTTCGTGCAACACTCTTACTATGTAGACATATTTGTTATACTTCATAGAAAGCTAGGATTCCTGGAATTCCAGTGATATATGCTATTCAACGATACAACTATAAATGTATGCACAGTAAATGCATTTGTCAAACCACCTGGAAATTCAAAATAATGTCTAACTCGTCATTCAAAGCCTCATATCAACAACAGAATAGAGCCACCTCCAACAAAATGGATCTTTTTACATCCACATGGGTCCAATAAATGTACTCCAGTTAAATTATAGCTCCATAATATGTCTTACATCTGCAATCCAACATAATATATTGCAGAAATCTTTAAAAAATTCTTTCAGATCTCCTTTTTCACCATAACCTCATCGTTAAATTAGCTACAAACTTTTGATCGGCTGCTTACCTGATCCAACAGGTGAAGGGTTACCTCGTCCGCTTGGGCAAACTCAGATCCAAAACTCAAACTATTGGCTGATAGATCACCACACTCTCTTCTCATGTGTAGCTTGAACCAATTGCAGTGTGGTGTATTATTGTTTGTCGAATCAAATAGCCAATAAAATTTGTTAAACAATCTTGAGCATGTTGATGCCTCATAGCAAGCATCCGCAAACTGAATAAAAATGATAGTGATTGGTGGAGCGCCTGTCCCACAAAATGTGTAAGCGTCACCTGTGCAAAAATAGTGCCCACCAAAATTTTTTGTCTGATGAATATTGCTGGGAAATCTTTTTTTAATATATATCCCCAACCTTAGTATTAGAATGGCAGAAGAAAAAGAACATTCCCCCCATCAAAAACAGGTGAGAAAGTCCCATCCCTATTGAAACTCTAGATCAGGCAGGCTTCACAGATGAACTATCATCCAGAGTTTTACCGGATCACTGGGAGTTGGACTCTACTTGATCGAACAAGTGGTTTGATTTCTTTGGTGGTTTATACAAAATCTACTAAGGTTTCTGGTTGTTGATGATGTCACTAACATTTGAACACAATTTTTAAATATTTAGCTAGAAAAGCTTTCTCACCTTTTTACCTTTTTTGTGATAAAAATACAGAGTATAAATCAAAATGTAGATGTGGAACACAGGTGAGTGGTTACTATAGTGACCCTGATAAGCCACTGGTAGCAGCTTTAACACTTCTTTTGGATCCAAATATTGGGTCTCAGCTTAGATGATTACAACAGTTTAGCTAGCTTTTTGAGCATCTCTTTTATGTTCTAGTTCAGTCATCATTTTGGAATGTAAAAGTTGGCTAATTAAGACTTTGTTGTCTTATTTTAAGGTTTCTTTCAAGGTGGTGAAGTATTCCCTTTCCCCCGATCTGAAGTATGCCTTGTTTGCATATGATGTCAATCCGGTGAGTTTCAGCATGTAGTCAAGTTCTATAAATAAAGAAGCACAAAGCAGCTTTTTTGATTTGCATCGTCGTAATCATGCAAGCTTTGATTGCAGTTTGTCCTGAACGCCATCCGCCTTTCTTCTCACCATTTTTTTTCAGTTTCCTGTCAAAATGGCATTTACATTGTTCTTTTGTGTAATACCCAAGGGTGCTGTCACTCATTTGCATGCACATGCACATTCACACACACAAACACACTTGCCAAGCCTTTACCTCCAGCTCGGTGATGTCTTTATTCACACGCTTCTGTGATTTTCTGCTTTGTGGAAGCAAATTGAAAAGAGCTGCTTTGATAAATTAGAGTTAGGATGTACGGAGCTCCAAGCAGCTGACGGGGAAACATGAATACCTGGATTATGCTGCATGGCGCGTAAACACAATTCTGTGTGACAAACAAATTGCAGCACCTGCAGAGAACAGGTGTAGATTTATTTGTTTTGTTTAATTTGGTGCATTTTTTTAAATGTGGCTTTCACTCAAACAGCACCAGGCTTTCCTCCTTCCTCACAGGGAAGGTTTACTATTGATTCTTTAGTTTTGTTTGCAAACAGATTAATCCAGGTGCAGGTTTACTAAACACACACTCAGACGTCTCTCAGATCCTATTCCAACTGCCTCTCACTGGGATGAAGGTGTTTTATCTTTGCTTTAAAATGAAAAATGTGTTGACTCTATATTTTCTACTCCTTTTTGACAAAGTCAGCCTCATCTGATTATGATCCTGTCTTATTTGTTACTGTGGCAACAGAATATCTCCCAAAATACACCAGAAGTACACAACCCACAGAAGCCTTTAGTAAGTAAGTAAGTAAGTAAAAGTTTATTTATGAAGTGCGTTTTGCAGATATGAATCACAAAGCGCTGTACAACATGAGTAAAATCAGGGCAAATACCTCAAACCGATAAAAACAGATCATAAAAAACAATAGCAGTGACAAAATAGTAAACAAAATCAGGAGTAAAAACAAAGTCAAGGTATGAACAAAGACAAAGCCATCTTTCAGAATATTTAGCGGGGGAACGCCTGGATGAAATGGTGACTTTTTAAATGTTTTTTGAAGACCTCTACAGTTTTGGAGAGATGGAGTTTTGAAGGCATTTCCTTCCTTTTACTGGAAAATAAATCACCTGTTCAAGAAAATCGGATCCAGAAAACTAGCTGAAGGGAAAATAAACACGTTTTGGTGGATTAATATTAGAGATTCTGCCTTGGAGGGTCGATACCCATTTCTGATTTTTGTACTACTCTTACCTGTTAATGTAGATTTATCTCAAAGTAATAGAATGACAGAACAGAAAATATTGGTAAATGTTTAATGAACCTGAAAAGTCAGATTATGTAAATAAAAACCAAGTTGGTTGGATTTTAGTTGGATTTTTAGGTTTTTGCTTAACGTGACAATAATATTCACAGAAAACGCCTTTTAGCTCACAGATGAGAGGCGTTGCTTCCAGCTGTAATTACGGAAATGGGGAGGGGCTTAACTTTTCTTCTGCCTCTAGATGGTACCCATGGAGAAAAAACTCCAGATTCTGCTATAATGTTCACTAAAATGACAAAATGCTTTTATAGATATAGCCTTAAATACAGTTTCACATATGTCCCATTTAATAACAACAACAACAATAATAATAATAATAATAATAATAATAATAATAACAACAACAACAACAACAATAATAATAATAATCCATCCATCCATTTTCATCCGCTTATCCAGAGTCAGGTAGCGGGGGCAGTAGCCTAAGGCGAGAGGCCCAGACTTCCCTCTCCCCAGCCAGTTGGGCCAGGTCCTCCGGGGGAATCCCAAGGTGTTCCCTGGCCAGGTGAGAGACATAGTCTCTCCACCGTGTCCTGGGTCTACCTTTAGGTCTCCTCCCGGTTGGACGTGCCCGGAAAACCTCACCAGTGAGGCGTCCAGGAGGCATCCTGACCAGATGCCCGAGCCACCTCAACTGGCTCCTCTCGATGTGGAGGAGCAGAGGGTCTACTCCGAGCCCCTCCCGAATGACCGAGCTTGTCACCCTATCTCTAAGGGAGAACCCAGCCACTCTTCGGAAAAAACTAATTTCGGCCGCTTGTATCCACGATCTCGTTCTTTCGGTCACTACCCAAAGCTCCTGACCATAGATGAGTGTAGGAACGTAGATCGACTGGTAAATCGAGAGCTTTGCCTTCTGACTGAGCTCTCTCTTCACCACGACAGACCGGTACAACGCCCGCATCACTGCAGATGCAGCACCAATCCGCCTATCAATCTCACGCTCCAGTTTCCCCTCACTCATGAACAAGACCCCGAGATACTTAAACTCCTCCACTTGGGGCAGGACCTCATCCCTGACCCGGGGAAGGCATTCTACCCTTTTCCAAATCAAGACCATGGTCTCAGATTTAGAGGAGCTGATTCTCATCCCAGCTGCTTCACACTCGGCTGCGAACCGCTCCAGCGAAAGCTGGAAATCACGTTCTGATGAAGCCAGCAGAACCACATCATCTGCAAAAAGCAGAGACCTGATCCTCAGGCCACCAAAACGGATGCCCTCCACACCTTGGCTGCGCCTAGAAATCCTGTCCATAAAGGTTATGAACAGAATTGGTGACAAAGGGCAGCCTTGGAGGAGTCTAACTCTCACTGGGAATGAGCCCGACTTACTGCCGGCAATGCGGACCAAGCTCTGACACCGGTAATACAGGGACCTAACAGCCTGTATCAGAGGGCCTGGTACCCCATACTCGCGGAGTACCCCCCACAGGGCCCCCCGAGGGACGCGGTCAAACGCCTTCTCCAAATCCACAAAACACATGTAGACTGGTTGGGCAAATTCCCATGCATCCTCCAGGATCCCCCTAAGGGTATAGAGCTGGTCAAGTGTTCCACGGCCAGGATGAAAATCACATTGCTCCTCCTGAATCTGAGGTTCAACAATCTGATGGACCCTCCCCTCCAGAACCCCTGAATAGACCTTACCAGGAAGGCTCAGGCGTGTGATCCCCCTGTAGTTGGAACACACCCTGCGGTACCCCTTTTTTAATAAGGGGACCACCACCTCGGTCTGCCAGTCCAGTGGGACTGGCCCCGATGTCCACATGATATTGCAGAGCCACGTCAGCCAACACAGCCCCACAACATCCAGAGCCTTAAGGAACTCCGGGTGGATCTCATCCACCCCTGGAGCCTTGTCACAGAGGAGCTTTTTAACCACCTCAGTGATCTCAGCACCAGATATTTGAGAGGCCAACCCAAAGTCCCCAGACTCTGCTTCCTCACTGGAAGACGTGTCGGTGGGATTGAGGAGGTCTTCGAAGTATTCTGCCCACCGATCCACAACGTCCTGAGCAGAGGTCAGCAGCACACCATCCCCACTATAGATAGTGTTGGTAGCGCAGTGCCCCCCCACCCCCCCCCCACCCCCCCCCACCCCCCTCCGAGGCGCCGGATGGTGGACAGAATCTCCTCAAAACCATACAGAAGTCTTTCAGCATGGTCTCACCGAACTCCTCCCATGCCCGGGTTTTTGCCTCAGCGACCACCCGAGCCGCATTCCACTTGGACTGTCGGTACAGGTCAGCCACAAAAATAAACAATAATGAACAAGGGTCTGCTTCTAGACCTGCAGAAAGAGAGAAGAGAAAAAAAAGCAAAAAACAAACAAAAAAAAAAGGGACACAGCAACAATACAACAAGATCAAGCTATCATTGCGTCAACTTCATGAAGAAATATAAAATCAACATTGTTTAACTGAACAATCACAAAAATCAGTTAATAAATCACAGTGCATTAAGTGCCCACCATAGCCTTAAGACATGTGTTGAACTTGCCCAAGTCCATACTTATGAGCGCACCATGTGAGCACCTGTGTGTGTACACGTGCTTGTTTATGTAAGGTTTCTCTATAGGAGCATCCAATAGAGAGTGTGAGGGGCCACAGATCTGCCCCCTAAAGATGTGCAGGAGACGGAGGGAGCTCCAAGTCCCAGAGATCCAGGAGCTGCCCCAGAGCACAGGAACCCCAGGGAGACTGTGACCAGAAAAGCCCCCGCCTCCCTCGAGAGGCACAGAGGATCGCCCCGGGGGGCCACAACCAGCAGCCGGCAGAGTCCTGGGAAATATCGGCAGCAAGCCCACAGGCCCGCCCGCAGCCTCCCACCCCTTAGCCGTCCGAGCCCGGGACCCAGGGGCGACCACCCCCACCGGGGACCCAGCAGAGCCCAGGGACCCAGACCCCACCAGGCAGCCACCGGGTTTTGTCAGGCAGACGCCAAAAATCTTAAACTTGCTGACCCAGGAGCCACGACCCAGGCAGACCAAGGCACTGCACTCCACACCAGGTCTGGCAGGGAGAGGGGAGATGAAGATCTATATCTTCAAAAGAAGTCCCAGGAGAAGGGAGGAGTCAAAGGCCCCACCTGACATATACGGTCATACACAAACACAGTCGCACACTCCCTCCATGATGCTCACACATACACATACAGCCACAGACTTAAAAAAATTAACGCCAGACACCCACCCATGCTCCCCATGCACACCCTATTCACTCTGGTCCCGGTACTGCTGCACATGGGGTACAACCATTACCGGTTCCCAGAGTTTGACCCTTTATGCTGGGGTGCTGATGAGCAGGCTCTCCCGCCCAATGCTGAGCACAGCAACCCACCACCCCAGACCCCAACCGGACAGCCGGATCTCCCTCCTAGCCTCCAGCCCCAGGAATCCAAGCGACAACGAGGTGTGCTAAGACCACTAGTCTCCCTCCGCCTGCTCTAATATGGTGTTAGTGAGTGTTGATTGAACTCCAGAGTGGTAGAAAGTCCAACCCCTGTCAAGGAAACTGGTTCCAGAGCCAGAGCCATGTGTTGACGTGAGTCCGCTTATATATACTTGGAACCTTTCAACTTCACACTCCAACTCAGGCTCCTTCCCCACCAGAGAGGTGACATTCCATGTGCCAAGAGCCAGCTTCTATAGCCGAGGATCAGACCGCCAATGTCCCCGCCCTCGACTACCACCTGTCACACACTGCAACCGACTCCTTTGGCCCCTCCCACGGGTGGTGAGCCCATAGTAAGGGGGACCCACATTTCCTCTTCAGGCTGTGCCCAGCCGGGCTCCATGGGTGAATGCCTGGCCACCAGGGGCTCGCCAACGTGCCCCACCTCCAGGCCTGGCTCCAGAGGGGGGCCCCGGTGACCCACGTCCGGGCGAGGGAACACGGTTTCCATTTATATAATTTATCATAAGAGGTCTTCGGACTGCTCTTTGTCTGATGCCTCACCTAGGACCTGTTTTCCATTGGTGACCCTACCAGAGGCATAAAGCCTCAGACAGCTTAGCTCCTAGGATCACTGACTACGTTTACATGCAGCCAATATCCGGGTTATGATCGGGTTAAGGTCGGGATTCGGGTTTCTGAGTTGATCAGAATAACCCGTTTACAAGCATAAATAGAAAGAGTTACCCTTAACTTGCATAACCCGATTTAAATGCGGACGTTGGGGTAGCGTCAAGACGTATGGACTACGTCAAGACGTATGGACTACGTCCAGACGCATTATGCCTCATTTCCAGTTCTTCTTGTTCCGGTATCCGTGAAAACAACATGTTTCCCAGTTCGGAAGAGATAGCGACCGCGTTTGTTTGTGCTTTAGTTTCTTCGTCACTCCAAAAGTGTGGCGCTGTGCCGCGACTCGCCATTTTGCTCCCAACTTGTTGTTTACTTCCGGTGTTCTGGCGCATACAAGACGTCTCACTACTCAAAAGACCAAGATTCCTTGCGAACAGAGCATGCGCAGAACACACGCTTTGATGGGGATATCCCGATATGCATTTACACGACCAAACATTCGGGTTAGAAAAGGGTTACCCCAGGTGTAGTAACCGTGTTTTTAAAAACCTGGTTATGAGCATATCCGGGTTTTTGGCGGTGTTTACAAGGACCTGCGGAACCGGGTTATTGTGAATATTCGGGTTTTAAAAGGGTTACTGGCTGCATGTAAACACACTGAGGCCTAGTCCACACGTAGCCGGTGTAACGTGAGGAAAAACGAAAAACGAATATCCGCCCCTCCAAAAACTTGCATCCACACCACCGCGTTTAAAAACAAACTCTGACCACACGTACCCGGATATATACGTTGTTAAGGACAAGCCAGACCTGTAGGCGCCAGTACTCCCCCCGTTCTTAACCTCGTCCTTCGTCTGTGGTCTTCCGCAAGGAGCAGTAATTCCGCTTGCAAAAACAAACAAGCAGAAAGCGCTTGGACAATTGATGGATCGGGTAGTGACAGAGCGCAGCTCTGAGGGCTTCCATGATGCCGGCTAGTGTAAACACAGGTCGCACACGTGATGTCAGCATTTTTTGTCGCGGAAAGTGACGTTGCGGACCTTAAAACTCCGGTTTTGTCCGTCCACACGCAGACACCCAAAACGGAGAAAACGCAGATCTTCATTTTGGCCGGAGTTTTTAAAAAGATCCGTTTTCATGTGAAAAAACTCCGTTTTCGTGTGGATGACAGGCCAAAACGTAGAAAAATATCTACGTTTTGGCAGATCCCCGGCTACGTGTGGACAGGGCCTGAGTGAGACACTCAAACCCCTCCACCACAGTAAGATGACAGCCCTGGGAGAGGTAATACAGGTATTATAATGATAATAATAATAGTAGTAAATAACAATAATAATATTATTATTATTGTTGTTGTTGTTGTTGTTATTATTATGAATATTGTGATTATTATGATTATTAATAACAACAACAACGATATTATTTTTTAATAATAATAGCAACAACAATATTAATATTAATACTAATACTACTACTATTACAAATAATAATAATAATAATAATAATAATAATAATGGATTCGATGTATATAGGACTTTTCAATAATAACAGTTTGGGATTATCTCACTTGGATGCAAACAAACTACAAACAGCATTCCGGAGGGAATCTCCAAAACATTCAGCAGTTTTTATTTTCTACATATAGGTCACAGAGTCTCATGCTGAGTCGCTGGATTTGGACTTGTGTCTGAAACTTTTCTCAGTGTGGTTTGCGAAATATGAGACAACTTTGGGAGGGGTTAGGAAATAAAAACACGGTAGAATGCAAACAAATAGACTCCAATTACACCCTCTACCCTATGTGACCTAGCCATATATAGAAGTCATCGTGTCAAAAATACAAATTTAGTGTGATTCTGGGTGAAATTTGTTTCTCCTTTCAGTTCATTCCCTTGATTTGTGGAAGTTTCACACGTTTGGATTTATAAATGTGTATGTCTGACCCATTTTCAATCTTTCTTCAGACAGTGTCGCTGTCTTTTCTTCATGTTGAGTTTCCTCAGACAGACCTCAGATCAGTCTTTCCTTTCTCTGATAAGCTCCGCTTTCGTTTCAGGTGTACAGATACTCCTATACGGCCTCCTACATCATCTACAACATCTACACAAGGTAAAGCCGTTGATGCTGGTTTGAAAACACCTGCTGGGGTGTCTGATATTTATTTTTTGAAATCAGGGAGGTGTGGGAGCTCAACCCACCCGAGGTTCAAAACTCAGTGCTCCAACATGCTGCCTGGGGGAGACAAGGACATCAGCTGGTGAGGCATTTCTCTCAGTTGGTTAATTAATTTGTTGATTCTCATGAACTGGGAACTTTTCGGCAGTTTTAAGTGTTTTATGAGGTTATTTCATATTCACACTTTTTATTTCAATGAATCGGGGGATCCAAAAAAACACAAGACTCTTCTGTCTACTTACATGTTACGGATCAGTGTCAGGGTTGGAGATCACAACTTCAAGGTAAATTCTAGGAGGAGGAAATTGACCAGAAGATACGATGGCCTGGTCCTCTCAGATGTTGTGTCTCCATTCAAATTCAGCTGCTTCAGGACTTCGCTAAGATGTCAGCATGATGCGACTGCTTAGGCAGTGAGTGATGTCACTGATCAGCACCAAAGTACGTTGATTCAGTTCCACTGGGAGAGCTGCTGTGTGATTAAAATGTGGCACTCAATGACCAGACGGAGTTAGCTAGTTTCGCTCAGCAACTCCACCGGGCCTTTCTGAGTACCTACTCGTGTTCAGGGACTCCAAAAGTTCCAGAAAATGGCCGTTTGTCCGGCTCAGTGAATTGGAGACATCTTGCAGGCTGGGAAGTTCTGGTAAAATTTCCCCTAAATTTCCGGTAATGGAAACCTAAAGGCTTGTCATCACAATCAGGGACACTGGTTTGAAGACAGTAACTGTCATGTTGAGGTGAGAGAAGACCAGATGTTTGAGGGAGGAGTGAACAAAGATGAGGTGGTTTGAGGTTATAATTCTCCAAAACTTACATTTTCCCTGGACAGTCTTACAATCACACCCATCCAAACCTGCTAGCCTGGCCTGCCAGACTCGTCCTCTGTTTAATTCTACAGAGAAAGAGTCTGGTAACTCTCAGGCAGAGAGGCACATGAGGGGCGGGACCGGCCAGCTCAGACGTAACCAATCAGAAAAAAGACGGACATGCCGTGCGATGCTGTAGTTTTTTAGCTGTAGTCAAAAATGGCATCTGGCGACAGCGCAAACAACTTTTTTTTTTAGAAGAAAGGCTTTTAGAGCTTCTACTTGTTGTTTTAAAGATGTGTCCAAGACATTTAGAACAGAGGAAAGAGCCGCAGCGAACTCCGCTTCAGTCGCCATGTTTTTTACAAACTCGGCGTTGTGGTGTGTGATGTACGCTGCTCAGCGCTGATTGGCTCAGTTAGAATTCTTAGGGGGTGGGGTTATTTGAATTGGAGAGTTCCCAGACCCTTTCTCTGTGCAGAATTAAACAGAGGAGGAGTCTGGCAGACCAGGCTACCAAACCTGCAGGATTGAGATCTAAACATATTACTAGTAGACCAGAAGAACTAATTTCCTTATGAGCCTCAGAAAGGTGGGAAGAAGAAGTGATTTATGAGTTAGCTAAGCTAAACTCAACTCATCTCAACTCAGTCTTGATTTATCTAGCGCTTTACAGGTACAAAGAAACACCAAAGCACTGTACAGGAAATCAAAGCCAAACAACAGAATTCTAAGAAATTAGTACACAATAAAAAGTGGTTTAAAACAGAATGAAAGAAAATAGCACACACTAAAACAACAAGCAGGTTCAAAATTACAATACTTTTTATTTATTTATTTATTTTCCTCGTGTCCTGTCTGGCTGTGAAGCAAACATAACTAATATCTCAATGCTGGTGATAAGCCTTACAGATTTACTCCCAGGTGGAGCATCAAAGCTTCTGCTTTAATGTCACTCCTGATACTTAAACCTTTATTGTTATTGTTTTTTGAATGCTTTGGAATTCTGACCAGACACGGAGACGGAGGTGAAAGAGAAAGGAAGAAACAAGGGGGGACTGGGGGTGATGATGATGATCAAGAGTCTGCTTTTAGACCTGCAGAAAAGGGACACACAATACAACAGGAGCAAGCTATCACTGCGTCAACCTGATGAAGAAATATAAAATCAACATTGTTTTACTGAATAGTCACGGTAATAAATCACAGTGCATTTAGGGCCAACCACAGCCTTAAGACCTAAGTTGAACGTGCCCAAGTCCATACTTATGAGAGCACCATGTGAGCACCTGTGTGCGTACACTCGCTTTTATATGTAAGGTTTCTCTATAGGAGCGTCCAATAGAGAGTGTGAGGGGCCACAGATTTGCCCCCCAAAGACTTGTAGGAGACGGAGGGAGCTCCAAGTCTCAGAGATCCAGGAGCTGCCCCAGAGCACAGGGACCCCAGGGAGACCGCAACCAGAAAAGCCCCTACCCCTCTCGAGAGGCACAGAGGATCACCCCGGGGGGTCACAACCAGCAGCCGGCAGAGTCCCGGGGGATATCAGCGGCAAGCTCACAGGCTCGCCCGCAGCCTCCCACCCCCAAGTCGGCTGTGCCCAGAACCCAGCAACTCGGGACCCAGAGGCGATCAGTCTCGCTGGGGACCCAACAGACCCCAGGGACCCAGATCCCACTAGGCAGCCACCGAGATTAATCAGGCAGACGCCAAAAATCTTAAACCTCCTGACCCAGGAGCTGCGAACACTCAGGCAGACCAAGGCACCACAATCCACACCAGTTGCGGCAGAGGGAGGGGAGGCGAAGATGTGTAGTAGCCAAGCCCCCACAATGCGGGTCAAAAATTGAGGCCAATACGGAAGTGAAATAAAGTGCAGTTCCACCCTCATTTGCTGGGGGCTGGTGTCAGAAGCGAGCAAATCCTCATTGACTCCCTTGTTAAAAATACCAATTTCACAGCTGAAATAAACATGTTTACAGCCTGGTTCCAAAACATGTTTTTGGTTTAAAAGATCTAGTTTACACTCATGACAACTCTGAGGGGGGTGAATATTTTTCTCACTCTTCTGTTTAAGTGTATTAAAAGCCTAAAATTCTGTATAATTAATGAGCATCAGACCCACGTGACCACAGAGCTAGCTCCGTGGAAAGGCCTCAGTAGAGCCCCGGTCTGGCTTGGAAACTGTTCCGTCAGTTTCAGTCTCTCTACTTAGACCATTAGTTATGCCGTTTGTGCGTTCTTTTTGGATATTATTTGTGCAATTGTTGGACAAAATGACTTGCTGTGGTATTAATTGCAGTAATAGAGCGTCCAAGGAGTCTCCACTTCATTTTTTTCGGTAAGTAAAATTATATTTATGTATTTTAGGTCACTGCCGAGCTGAGCTTAGATTTTAACATGTACTGTTTAACCATGAAATTTAAATGTAATAGGGTTAAACCCAGTGCATTTAACATAATGTTGCACTTTAGAAAATGGGTTGAAATATAACATGTTGGTGGAGCTGGGTTCCGACTATCGGCTTGTGGAGCTCTCAGGAGACCTCTGTTATCCACCCGTTTCTCCCCTCCCCGCAGCTCGGCGCATCTCTGTCTGATCGCGGCTCCTGTCTGCTGCGCGGGGTGCCGGCTTGTGGAGCTCTGGGATGGAAACTTCTACCCGGTTCTCCCCAGCGGCAGCTCTGCGCATCTCAGATCGCAGCGGCGCTTGTCTGCTGTGCGGCTGCCGGCTTGTGGAGCTCTCGGGAGACCTCTGTGTTCCACCCGGTTTTACCCAGCGGTCAGCCCGGCGTATCTCTGACTCAGAAGCTCTGGTGTTGTGCACAGTTAACTCCGGTTGTAGCTAGGTTGCTACCTACGTTAGCTTAGCTCCCATCTCCGCGTTAGCTTTGGGTTAGCTTCAGGTTAGCTTGTAGCTACAGTAGTTCGACCGGGTGTCGTCAGTTGATCCCAGCCTTACAGCCCCACCCTCAGCTCCACCTCTCTACCCTTTTGTGGAATTGTCTGGGCTTGACAGAACCTGTGACACGGTCAAAATGGCGGTGGTTGCCACCTCCCATTTTTCTTCCAAAATGTGTTATTGGAGCCTATGGAAACCCATTGTCCATATATGTATGTCGATGGTAGTAGCACAAGAAGTCCCAGGAGAGGGGAGGAGTCAAAGGGCCCACCTGACATATACAGTCATACACAGACACAGTCACACATTCCCTCCCTCATGCTCACACATACACATACAACCTAAAGCCTGATTTATGCTTCTCCGTCTGCGTCAGTGCGGAGACACCCAACGCCATTATCCGTCCTTGCGTAGGGTTCCGGCAGGCACGCAAGTACGTACGAAGTCGAGCCCACTTTTTTAAACATCCGTCGAACGAAACGGATTACGCAAGCTTGTCATTGGTCAGGACGCCGCTGTTGTTTACAGCGCCGCCATTGCAAAGAGAGCCGAGGATAACAAGCGGCAGACACGGAGAAGCTTGAAGAATACCTCGCGAAAAAACTCTAAAAATATGAACGTTTTATTCTCCCGTGACTGGAGGAGTGAAAAGATACGCAGCAAGTGTTTTATTTGTGGACGGAAATGACAGGAAACATGGGTTTAGAGGTGGGGAGCGCATGAAGCGGTGGGAGAATGAGAGACAAATATGTCCGTGTTAAAAGTCTCTTATATACACAAAAACACAATATAAACACACGATCTTGGACCGATACATGACAGGATACCACAGAACAGCGCTGCGCCCTCTGGTGTCCTGCCGGGCAATTGCTTTGCATTTTGCAACGCTCTCCAGGAGACGGAGAAGTATGAGAGCAAAACGCTTCCGTCAATCCGTGCGTGTCTGTCCCTTGCGGAGCTGACGGAGAAGCATGAACCAGGCTTAAGACTTACAAAAACGCACGCCAGACACCCACTCATGCTCCCCATAAACACCCTATTCACTCTGGTCCTGGTACTGCTGCACAAAGAGTACAACCATCACCGGTTCACAGAGTTCGACCCTTTCTGCTGGGGTGCTGATGAGCAGGTTCCCCCGCCCAGCGCTGAGCAAAGCAACCCACCACCCCAGACCCCAGCCAGACGGCCCAGCCCCGGGAAGCCAAGCGACAACAGAGGTGCGCTAAGACTCCTAGTCTCCCTGCGTGTTGATGAGGTGTATTCCACGGCTGTGGTGAGCGGACAGTGCAGGCTTTATCTGGCCTACGCCAGCTGATGCCCCCCCCACCCCCACCCCACCCCACAGTCCTCTGTGTCTAAGTGCAGTTTAAAATTTGAAGTGGGCACCAGTACTCAGGATGAGGCTGAAAGATCCCCTTGCCAAATTCCGTTGAGTGTGCTCACTCCCAAGGCCCTAAGCAGCCCGCCATGGCTGAAATCCCAGCGCCACGCCTACAAGATCAGGAAGTTTTATTGATTTTTAAAATTGTATTTATTTATTTATTTATTTATTTATTTTATTTTTTGTGCCGTTTCCCGAAGAAGCAGTGGGAACTACTCTGTTGCTGCTTGTGATCACAGCCGGCAGGCAGCAAGGAGGAGGAGGCAGGGCAGGGTGGTTACAGCTAGGGATGAGCCGGATACTCGTTTCAGACGAGTATCCGGTACGGATAAAGCATTTTTGATGAATACGAGCATGAAACGAGTAAAACTCGTAAATATCTGTAATCGTGCTGAAGGAAAATCCTCATTGGTTAACTGACTGTCTTCACGCTCTGTGATTGGCCAGTCACATAAAGCACCCACCCCTCCCTACACACAAAACTGCAGCCGGGAGCGCAGTCCATCCGGCCCATTCACGCACACACACACACAGTAACGGATCTCTCTGTGCTTGCTCCACTGTTCCTCACGTTTCTTCAGTACTCCCTAGGTTTTCTTCAGCTCGCCTCTTTTTCGGTTGAATATTTAAAGTTACTTTTTTTCGTAACGTACGTGGTGCATTTGACAAGACAGAGCTGAAAACGGCTCATGCATGCATCGGTCACTGCCTCCGCTCTGGTCATTTTTTTTTTATTTTATTATTATTTTAACTCTCTCTCCCTCTCTCTCCCCCCCCCCCCCCCCCCCCTCTCTCTCTCTCTCTCACACACACACACACACACACACACACACACACACACACACACACACACACACACACACACACACACACACACACACACACACACACACACACCTCAATCAACATTGTTTTGTTTAACTGTGTGTGGGAAAAATGCCAACAACGTCAGGAAAAAATCAGTTTAATCAAATTGAAATAAAATGGTTCTAGCATTTCATATTTCCTAGTTCCTACTACATGAGTTCAGATGCTTTAATTCATGCACTTAAATATTAATGTTCTGATTTTACTGAAAAACTTGTTCTGAAATAGTTTCTTTACTATTGTGATCAAAACTATTTAATCTCAGTTCTGAGGCTGCTCTGTAAATAATTTTCAAATAAACAATACACATATGTAGCAGCTTCTGATCAAACCATATCAATTTCAGACTCAAAATAATGTACTGATGTCAGTAGCGGTTTTAGGCACGGGCAGACAGGGCAATTGCCCGGGGCGGCATTTTTTCATGACACAAAAAGGGCGCACAAGCGCTGAGTAAAAAAAAAAAAAAAAAAAAAAAGGAAATCTGCGCCGCACCGAGGTTTTCTATTATCTGTCATATGACAGTGTCTGGATTGGAAACAGCAAGTTGGCGCCCCCTGCAGCTGCAGGCGCTCCTGCTGACTGAGAACGTTCACGTGCACCGTGTGTCTATGAAGAACAGGAAGGGGAGGGGTGCGGCGGGGGAATTCACCTCTGCGTCTTTCCCAAATGAAATGAGCGCAAAATGAGCGTGCAGGGGCTGAATCAACTGTATTAACATGGCTAAAGTCAATCACATCTTAACGTTCTTCCATATTTCATTCATAATATCATAAACACAGGCCTATCATTCTTTCAGGTTTCTCTGAATTGTGTGAAATGGCCGAATAAAAAAAGGAAAAACAAAATGATTTTGTGGTCACCCCCCCATCAAGGTCAAATTGTTTAGTCCTGACTAAAGGAAACTTACTGAGTCAGGAGTCAAACAGAAGAGATGAACATAAAAAGGCTAAAACCACCAGGTGCCCCATTCAGGGGGAAAAAAAAGAAAAAAGAGGAGAAAGATAAAGGTATGCTCTCATGATGCATGTTGCATGATGCATGTTTAACGGTTAAATGCGGTCAACTAATTGCTAACAGAGCTAATAGGGCTGAAATATTGAAACGAATATTCAAATGGTTCGAAAAAAGTCCTTGAATCATTTTTTACTGATTCAGACTAGGATTTGTTAAATGCTCACTGCAGCCCGTGGCCTGCCTGAACAACAACACACACATGTTGATCAAGTTCACATAATAATAAATAAAACAATTCTACAAGCAGAAGAGAACTCCCCAGTCACCACTAACTATCCTGTTTATTTATTGCAGATGGCTGCACTGATTATTTTACATGATTTGTTCTGTAAAAGTTGGCATTTTTGGTAGTCTACAGTTTTTTATGTCAGTTTAAATTACAATTTCAGGGGCAATTCTAAAATATTATGGATCAACTTTTGGACTGCTCTGCCAGTCACTGTGGCTCCAGCTGAGAGGAGCTTTTAAAAACTTGATCAAGTCATACCTGAGGTCACCTATGTTTCAGGGGCGGCTCACTAACCTGGCTCTGATTAGTATCAATCACTCAGTAGGGGAGCAGATTTCATATGATGACATTATTGATGACGTTGCATCAAGGTTAGGTTTTAATTTTAGTTTGTGTTTTCTGTTCTAAGTGCAATGCTGTAGTGATTATCTTTAGTTTGTTATGTGTGAAATATTTTTGCTATTTAGAATATTTATTATCTATTATGTTCATATATTCTTAATATTTAGTTATTGTTTGTTTTTGTATATATTCTATATATTTTGATACAGTATATAATGTATATTGCTTTACATTCTGACAACTTCATAGTAATTAATGTAAATATGTGCAACTTAGAAAAATGAATGTTCAATAGTCGTTCTAATAAACATGCCTGTTTGTAGAAAACATGCATGTGTTCGTGCAGGTGGGGTGGTGTGGTGGTGGTGGGGGGGCGCTCAAAGGGGGCCTCGCCCGGGGAGTAATTCGATGTAGAACCGCCACTGACTGATGTAAACCACACCCACTAATTTCCAAATAATAAATAAGAGGTGCATTCATCTGTGTATGTCCTTTGATCCGCATTAGTGATGTTTTCAGCACCAGAACAATGAAGCAAAGAAACAGATTCCTGAGTTTATGTTAGTAATTTTATTTATTAGATGCATCTGATCTGTTCTATTTTTCTCTGAAATGAGATCAAATCAGTGCTTCTATGGGTTGTCTCCTCTCTGCACTAGAAAAATGTACTTTATTATAATGTTCACTGTAATGCATCTTGATGTTCTTAACAAATAAATTAAATGAAAGATATTGGTCAGTAATGCCAAATATGTAAATTTGTGTTTCAGTCATTTTTATACTAGCTTAAAAATACTTCATTAATTCTGCTAAGCAGGGGTGTAGAATGTTTTAATAGGGCCAGCCCAGCAATGATCTTGGACCAAAATAAAGGGGGCAGAAAGTCAAATAAAGGGGGGCAGAAGGAGATGTTTTCCAGATGCCAAGAAAAATTAAATGCCAAATCCCCCCTGCAAAGTGTGTCACTGAGAGTTTAAAACAAAAATTATTCTTGTGCAAATATTGGTGTATTCACCTTTAATACTAGTTATTACAATGCAGCAGTTGCTGGACTGGTGCTGATCAAAGTGGAGTGCATCAAATAAAACAATATTAACATAAAGGTGAGACGTGTCATAATCCCCCCCCCCCCCCCCCCCCCCACACACACACACACACACACACCACCACCACCCACCACAGCTGGAAAAATTCCTAGAGGAAACACTGTGCGTGGAATGTCGTTGGTGGAAGTGTATAATGTGCAAATAAAATTGGCGGGCAGGTTGCCACAGGAATGCGGAAATGGGGTCCATACCTGCACCCCCTGACTTGTCCACCCCCCAAAGTCCTATGTGCATGTTTGTGTGTTGATGTGAGGGAGCAGGAGGATAAAAATGTATGGGGATGGGGAGGAATGGCTGGTTGGCCTAAGCCCTCCAGGGTGCCAACTCCCCCACTGGCCCCAGTAGGCACCTCCGTTGCCAAAATGCCACCCAGGGCATGGAGACTCCAGCCCATCTTGTACTAATGTACTTTAAATAAAAAGAAAAAACCCAAAATAGAGGTTTAAAACTGTGAATCTCCATCCCTTTCCCAGCTCTACATCTTTGAAAACAACATCTATTACCAATCAGACGTGAGGAGCAACTCTCTGAGAATCACCTCCTCTGGGATGGAAGGAGTCATCTTCAATGGCATCGCTGACTGGTTGTACGAAGGTTTGGGTCGTCCTGCATACTTGATGGTTGGGTTTAAACCAAGAAGCCCAGTTGTGTCAAAAGCGCACTAAAAGGTAGGGATGTTGAAAATGGCTGTTTTGTCTCATCAGAGGAGATCCTGCGCTCACACCTGACTCACTGGTGGTCACCTGATGGAGAGAGATTGGCCTTCCTCACCATCAACAACAGCCTGGTGCCCAACATGGTTTTGGCCCAGTTCACCGGCAGCACCTACCCCCGAGGCCTACAGTACCCCTACCCCATGGTATGGCAGACAAATGGTCCACTTTGACCCTTAAATATCTCTCACTGCAGGAAGAACTAGTTTCATAAATCTAAAGGAGAAATAAAAGTCAGAATAATTTAATTATTCACGATTCAGACTTAGAGGTGAGGTGAGAAGCTCTGTCTCCTCTGTGGAGCTCAGGATCGAGTTGCAGCTCCTCATCATCAAAAGGAGCCAGCTGTGGTGGTTTAGAAATCTGACGAGGAACCTGGTTTTGGAGGTTTTCCAGTCACTGGTAGGAGATTCCAGACCTCATTAGATTATATTATCCTCACTGGTGTGAGAACACCTTGGAATCCTCAAGAGTTTTGGTTTCTGTCAATATTCCCATAAATAAGTGGAGAAAATACATAAATGCAACAACAAAGCGCTCAACTTGATAATTTTGCACATATAATGATAAATTGCTTTTAAATCTGATGTCTGTAGTTGTATTTCTTGTTTAGGTTGGTCAGACAAATCCTGCCGTAAAGCTGTCGGTGGTTAATCTGTTTGGTGCCACTCACACCCTGGAGCTTCAGCCTCCACATCAGCTCAGACTCAGGTAAGAACGCACACTCGCCAAAACAACCACGCAACATGGAAACAAACAAATCTCCGATTCCACTCGTCCGTCTGCAGGGATTTCTACGTCACCATGGTGACGTGGATCAGTAACAAGCACCTGGCCGTCCGATGGATCAACCGACCTCAGAACGTGTCACTGCTGACGATTTGTGATGTCGCTGTAGGAGTCTGTCACAAGGTTTCAACCTAATACACATTTGTAGCTTTGAATTTGTGAGCGTTGAAGAATGTTTTCAGATAGCATCAGCACACCTGTCAAGAAAGTGCTGCATTTTAGTTCACTTTTATGTAATTAATTTGATCTATTTTCTGTATCTTTCTTAATTTTTGCAGAATATTTTTTTATCTTATGTGTGTATTTTGTAAGTATTTTTCCATTTTCAGGGGTTTCGTATGGTAGAGATTAGGGCCATTGAAATGAAAAAAAAAAATAATCTGACTATTTTTTCAGAATTCTGATTTTATTCTCAGAAGTCAAAATGTCACCATCCTGTTTAAAGTCACAATTCTTTTTATTATTTATTTTCTTTTCCTTCTTCCGTGTTACTCAGTGTGTCTGTGTAAAGGGAATAAAGTAGTCTAAAGAGTTGTGTATGGAATAACAAATAAGACCATTTAAAAAATTCTAAAGGAACGATACGAATTATTAGAGAAAACATAAAAAAGAAATTAGTCCAAAATTTTTGTGGAAAATAAAAATTAAATTTTTTAACATTTTTCTTCTTTTAGTGTTCTATGCTTACAGTATAACCACAATTGCTGCGTTTCTGAATGTTGGAAGTAGGACTGGGTGATATTATTGAAAAATATCTATCATATTTTCCACTTTTATTGCAATAAATAAAACAATAGTTTTTAAACCTGTTTTTAGTCACTGAGCTCATGCATAATTTAACTCTACAGCCCAGTGCAAAGGTTCCTTGTGAAAGATACCGGCTCTTCAACACCAAGTACGAGATTAAATAAAAAAAAAAACTGCATAGCTCTTAATTATTGTGCAATCAACCAGCATAGCTGAAATTTATCAACACAATCCCATTTAGTTTCCTTAATTGATTTTCTAAACTATGGTTAGCCTTGACTTGCTGTTTGTCAAACACAGCATTAGTGTGTGTTAGCATGCTAATTTTGTTCCAAGCGCCAGTTTAATTGTGTAACGTTTTTTGTGTTAAATTAGGCAAACTATGCTATATTTACCTTAATCGTTTAAATCTTGGTTTAATTTTCTGTTTTCCAGAGACACGAGGAGTCCTCAGACACGTGGCTGTCCAGACAGGTACAACGAGACTATACGATCAAACCTTTCATAGCAGTGAAGTTAATTATTTATTTTAATGGAAGAAATGTGCTTGGGTCCTTGTCTCACTGTGATGGAATGTCTAGAGGAGCTGTGGGATTTAATCCAGGCTGCAGAATAATAAAGGAGTTTGTGATATGTTTTTAGAGAGTTGTAGAAATTGATTAGAAATGGGCCGAGACTACAAACAAAAATGGCAGCATCATGTTGGTCGAAGAATGGATGGAGCTAGTTAAAAGTTACAGGGGTGAAACAAAGGCTGATCTAGTCACACCAAATGTTGTGAGAAAGATATGATTGAGTATTATTGAGTAGCAGTGGAGGCAAAAGTTTTGTTTAAACATTTTGTGACCAGTGAAACAAGGGGACCAAATACAAATCCCTGTGGCACGCCAGAGAATCGGCAGCCACGAGGAGATTATTATTTTTATCAAGTTTGTTCCATTTGTTTTCCTTATTCTGCTTTTTCTACTCATTCCACCTTTCCCACAATCCACTGATTTCCCTCTTTCCTATTAATTTTCTCTCTCCCTTTCCTTACATTATACTTTTTTTATCACAATTTAATTATTTTTCTCAATTTAAACATATTTTTTAATCATTTTTGAAAAATTTATTTTACTTTGTTTTTTTTGTGTGTGTGTACGTGAAGCGCCTCAGGATTTTTATCTTGAGAGGCACTATATAAAAGATCGTTTTCTTTCATTCATTCTTTACTGTTAGTAATTTTGTTAGTTAAGAATTATGTGATGAAGTTGCACACTGTTGTTGAAGGGGATACATTGTGCAAAACTCACCTTTTGCATCTTTTTGGGCTGCCATGTGGGTCCCTCTCTCTAAACAGTCCCATATTATGACGTTGTAATAAGGAAAATTAGCACACACACACACACACACACACACACACACACACACACACACACACACACACACACACACCGGTGAAGCTTGGGAAGCAGCAGCTCTACTTTAAGCCCCTTCTTTATATCCAAGCTCCTCACCTCATAGAACCCACAGAGGGGATAGGTGGGCGTGGCTCAGCCATAGAACTAATTTAACTTTAAAAAGTCACAATATGTTCCCTTTGAAGGTGTGTTTCGCTCGTTCAGTCAATACATTTGCAGTGATCTCTAATAGGAATGAATACCGTGTAAGGTGTACTCTGGGTACAAAAAACTCTGGTGTGCCTGTTTCAGGATCTAGAAGATGGCCAGATCATAGGAGAGATTCAAACAGCAGGATTTTGAGTCTTATTTCCTGATATTCCTGACATTTCACCTTTGAAACAGGACTCTACCACTGGCTCTATTTGCTGTGCAACGTTGATGTTTTATCTCCACAAATAGCACAAGCCTGGAGGAGTTTTGCTGTGTGGTGGAGTTGCTAATGCTAACAGTTAGCTTCTACCATCTGAGACATTCTCTACTGTTTCCTGGATGCTAAAACAACAACAGCCTTCCCTGCCGTTAGTTGAGATGGATGAGTCCATGAATGTCAGTGACAGTGCGACGTAGATCTGTCAGGCTTTTCTAATCCTGGAGTTTCACCGTCTGTTTTCTATCAGAAGCTACTGCAGGAGATAAGTGTAGGAGACTATTTTCATGTTCAGCCTGCATGAAAAAATTAAGAGTGACCGATTATAATCAGCCATGAGAATTAATTAATTATAATTAAGTATCTTGATTATCTAATTTATAATTATACTCTCGTAGGATATATTTTGTGTGCTACTGCTGCTAGCCTCTGTCCTTGCATTAATGCAATTACCCCACTGAGGGACAAATAAAGGTATTCTTATTCTTAAAAAATCTCAAAAGTATTATTTATTTATCATTTGACGATTATAATCAGAAAGAATCATTAAAAAAAGTTTTTTCAGTGAACCACACCAAGCATGGGGTTTTGATGATTCTGTCAAGGAGAAAAAATATAGACTAGAGCTAGTTTCAGAATTGTAGATGATGTGAGAATAGTAAGTGTATTTGGTGGAAGCAACAGTGTTTATAAAACAGGATATGATTATTGTACATTTCTGTATGTATTAGGAGACGTTTGGCCTCTGTTTAAAGAAAATCCCCACCGAAATACAAGCTGAGACTCTGAATCAGAGAAAGTCTATAATTTCACTTCCAACTGAATGTGCCACAGATCAAAGCGTGGCAAGCAAATGTCTCAGTGTGGTCGTATTCATGTTCAAGAGTAGAAACCATTCATGCTGAAAATGGGTCACCTTCTCTACAGAGACAAGAACCGCTGTTCTCCGAGGACCTGAGCAGGTTTTTCCTAACCATGCCCATCAAGCAGGGAGGTCACGGAGATTTCCACCACATCAACATGTTCACTCAGAAGGTGAATTTCTCCTGCTTTCTGTTTGATTTGTGTCCTCTTGCTGCAGAACAACCTGTCTGAGCTTTCAGTAACCTGCTGCTTTCTCACAAATAAGTAGAATCTGCTGTTGTTTAAATGAAATCCTTGTTTTGTCACTTAGTTCTTCTCTAGTCCTTCTTGGGCTGATTTCTAATCACTTGAAACATTTGATCAAGATTCATTAAAGCTGTATTTGCTCCCACAGCTCCTACAGCTCTTGCAGATTTTCTTTATTTTTTGTTGTAGTTGCTGCTTAAAGTCTTTGAATGATACAGATACATCATTCCTCTCATTGTTCAGTTTAACTCAATATCCACTCCCATCTCCAGGCAGGAACGTCTGTAAACTCTTCTGAGAATAATTTGCATATTTAGTGCTTCCTTGAACAAGATATTGAGATGAAATGGTCCTCAGAGACTTGAGCCAGGCTCAGGATCATCTACCATATGACAGGTTTTTACCTGATAGAGCAAAAATCCTGCTTTCTGTTTGTCAGACTTGTCAGGTTTGGTATTTTTTTTGTGATTCTATGAAAGAAATTAATTGTTTTTTCCGTTTCAGTCCCATAGCGATCAAGATGAAGTTCGACATTTAACGTCAGGAACCTGGGAGGTGACACGACTCCTCGCTTATGACGAAAACAATCTGACTCTGTACGTGTTTATCTGTTTCCCGCACTGATTTTTGCTTTATAACAACATAAATTATGCAGAAAATATGATTGGTATGAAGGATTTACGCGTGCACGTTAAAAGAAAAGCAGGTTGCATAAGCGACGTGAAATGTACTAGGCATGTTTAACCCGCGAGGTTCAGCAGCGTGCCCCTTCCTACCGAGAGCGTTTCAAACCGGTATAGAACTTTTTCACAAAAGCTGGAATTGCGTCATCGACAGGGAATCTCTGTTTCTAAATAGTTCAGATTTCAGTCAGTGTAGATCGTTTCTACTCTGCAAGCCTGTTACATTTGCCCAGTATAAAATTAAAAATAAGACACTGAAGACCTTGGAGGAAACATCAATATGATACTGGAAGGCAGAGGTTCCACCCATGAACAATAAATAAATGACAGTGATATTATGTTACAACATGACAATCTTACTGATCTAACAATATCTTTTCTTGTTCTTTCAAAATAAAGTCCACTTTTAGACAATATAACAACAATATAAAATAACAACATACACATGTGTAGCATTCATGTATGATAATTATGTTGTACAGCTGTGATAAATATCTGTCCATGAATTAGAAAATTATTTAATTTGAACAATAAACTGTTAACATTAACGTGTTAACGTCTAATTCTATTTTGCATGGGTGGCAGCTCTAAGCTAACTATAAGTTGAGCACCATTTACTTGTCGAGCGTACATTTTAGCAGAGTTTGCTGTGGACAACTGACCTGCGTGGGCTAACCAGGGCTAACGGGGGCTAACGTAGCATCATCATGGTCCACCCTTGTCAACCACTTTGCTTTCTGTAGCTCCTGGCTTTCCAATTCCTGTGCTGCACAAACTGCTGAACTACCGAACATGTAGAAGTTATTCCAGGAGAATAGACTTGACACCACATCTGAGTTAGACTTAGCCTTTGCCTCACTACCTAATCCTTACCTATTAGTTAATAAAATGTTGCCTCTCCTCACTCTTGATTGCCCTTAGACAATTTTGCCTTGCATCGATAGATGTTGGAAACAGATGGAAATGGAGGCCGGGCTACTTCTGAGCATAAGACAACCAGCTTTACGCCGCAGCAACGCTACAAAAACTCGTTTTCCCTGCCACTGATGTATTTACAGTTAAAAACAACTAAATATCATGAAGTAAAGATGAAACATACTTATAATCAGAAAACATGAAACAAATACAATTTTAAATAAAAGGGTCAAGTTTAAAAAAAATTTGAATGCTCATAAATCAAACTACAAAAATATCATAAAACTACAGAAAGATAGTTTACACTACGCTTCTGGGGCGTGTACAAAACACAATGTTTTGCGGCTGGTGGAAACCATCGACATATAAATATTGGACAATGGGTTTCCATAGGCTCCAATAACACATTTTTGAAGATAAATGGGAGGTGGCCACCACCACCATTTTGACCGTGTCACAGGTTCCGTCAAGCCCAGACAATTCCACAAAAGGGTAGAGAGGTGGAGCTGAGGGTGGGGCTGTAAGGCTGGGATCAACTGACGACACCCGGTCGAACTAGCTACAAGCTAACCAGAAGCTAACCCAAAGCTAATGCGGAGGTGGGAGCTAAGCTAACGGAGGTAGCAACCTAGCTACAACCGGAGTTAACTGTGCACAACACCAGAGCTTCTGAGTCAGATACATGCCAGGCTGACCGCTGGGTAAAACCGGGAGGAACACAGAGGTCTCCCGAGAGCTCCACAAGCCGGCAGCTGCACAGCAGACAAGCGCCGCTGCGATCTGAGATGCGCAGAGCTGCCGCTGGGGAGAACCGGGTGGAAAGGTTTCCATCCCAGAGCACCACAAGCCGGCACCCCGCGCAGCAGACAAGCTGCGATCAGACAGAGATGCACTGAGCTGCGGGGAGGAGAGAACCGGGTGGAAAACATCGGTCTCCCGAGAGCTCCACAAGCCGATAGTCGGAACCCAGCTCCACCAACATGTTATATTTCAACCCATTTTCTAAAGTGCAGCATTATGTTAAATGCACTGGGTTTTACCCTATTACATTTAAATTTCATGGTTAAACAGTACATGTTAAATTCTAAGCTCAGCTCGGCAGTGACCTAAAATACATAAATATAATTTTACTTACCGAAAAAAATGAAGTGGAGACTCCTTGGACGCTCTATTAGTGCAATTAATGCCACAGCAAGTCATTTTGTCCAACAATTGCACAAAAATATCCAAAACAGAATACACAAACACAGAGACTCAAAATCCCGGAACAGTTTCCAAGCCAGACCGAGGCTCTACTGAGGCCTTTCCATGGAGCTAGCTCTGTGGTCACGTGGGTCTGATGCTCATTAATTATACAGAATTTTAGGCTTTTAATACACTTAAACAGAAGAGTGGGGAAAAAAATCACCCCCCTCAGAGTTGTCATGAGTGTAAACTAGATCTTTTAAACAAAAACATGTTTTGGAACCAGGCAGTAAACATGTTTATTTCTGCTGTGAAATTGGTGTTTTTAACATGGGAGTCAATGAGGATTTGCTCGCTTCTGACACCAGCCCCCAGCGGTTGAGGGTGGAACTGCAATTTCTGGTACTTCTGTGTTGGCTTCAATTTTTGAGCCGCATTGTGGGGGCCTTGTGGAAACGCAGCCATTGACGATAAAGGAGGCTAATGGCTGCATACTTTGCTTTGTGTACATTAAACAACGCTTACGAGTCAGGTGGAAAAGCAGCCTAATGCTGTCATTGTTCACACATTAATGACCCTGTTATCTCTCCATACTTTTTAACATCAGCCACTCATACATTTAGTCAGATTCAAACTTAACTTCAAACTTAAATATTTAGCTCATTCAGGAGGTGCCTACTGTGACTTTTGGTATTTCTCATTTTTGTAGTTTCTTAAAATATTGAACTAATTTATTTATTTCCCCAAATAAAAGGAAAAAGGAAAAGGAAAGCTTCTTTTTCAAAGTAGTCAAGAAAGCAAGTTACTCCTATCAACATCTACTCAGACACTGAAAACTTGGAAATTATCGGATTTTATATGCATGGGTGTGTTCTGACAAGATATGGGCGGAGTTCGGATTGGTTGTGGGCGTGGTTTAATAGTTTTTTTTTTTTCACTTTCTCTGACATGGGCTCAGCACTTTAGCCGATTCTGATTTCAGATTCCTTGTTTTATGGAATTCCACACAAAGCTAAACATTTAATAACTTCGTTTATAAATACATTTATTCCTCAAAACCACAAAAAAGTAAAATCTTTACTTTTAAGCTGATCTTTAAGCTCTTAAGACCTTTAAGAAAGGTCAGTGTTTATAAGGAAGCCGTATGAACCTGTGCTTTAGTGATCCAGGGCTGAACATTGGAGGTTCTCCTTTGTCCTAGTTTTGCTCGTCTGCTTTCTTTCTCACAGATTCTTTCTGAGCACCGAGGAAGCTGCACAGCAGAGACATCTCTACAGGTGAAACTCTCATTTCCCTCCCAGGTTCTCTTTCAGCGTGATGTGTGAAGATAAGTGGGAGGTTTTGTACTAAGCCAACGCGTCTTTTTCAACAGTGTGTCGACAGTCGGCTTGTTTCCACGGCAATGCCTCACCTGTGGACTGAGGGAGGGATGTTCGTTTTTTGACGCTGACGTGGGTCCTGATGCGCAGCATGCCATCCTGCACTGCCGAGGTCTGAGACAGTCGCTGCTACCTGGGAATGTCACAAATTAAAGAAACTTGGAGGTTTTAGGAATATTAAAGGACATTTTAATTCTGAAGTGTTGCAGTAGTTAAAATAAAATAAGAAACTCAGATTAATCAGGCTTAAAACACAAATGTAGCACCTATATGATGAGATTTTTACATGTAATTCAGATTAAAACACTATTTGGCCTCATATGGGATTCAAAGAAACCTGCAGGGACAAAAATCCACAGGAGGTTGAGTTTAATAAAAAAGTAAAACCTTGTTGTCTATTAAAATGTCAAGAGAGTTTCGGATTTTAGTCCTTTTTGTGTCTCAATATCATTTACAGGTCCTGCTGTTCCAGCTGAGTTGCTTCTGGATCTCACCAATGTGGACTGTGAGTCGCATTTCATGTTGCTTCTGTGCCAGCTGTAGCGCCAGCTCTGGTTGTGTTTCTTTATTTTCCTGAGACATAAGCAAGAGTTTAAATCGACAACTAGATAGCTCTCTTCAGATGGTGAGCGAGAGGTTGAATTTTAACTAAATGTAACTTTTTTTTTGTTTTGAGTTCTGAAAAAGTAAAAGTTGCACATTATTTATAAATGTTTAGGAGTTTGTTGCAAGTTACAGATGGAAACAACCTGCAGTGGCTTTTATTTTTATTTTTTTACCCCAAAATTAGAACGTAAAGTAACTTTTAATTTCCCCAATTCTTTTGTTCTATAATTAATCAGCTCATTAATGGCCCCTGGAGGCTGGAGGATATATATATATATATATCTTTTTAAATTGTTTTTTATTGTATTTTTTCCCGTGTCCTGTCTGGCTGTGAAGCTTTACAGATTTACTCTCAGGTGGAGCATCAAAGCTCTTAATGTCACGCCTGATACTTAAAACTTTATTGTTATTGTTTTTTGAATGCTTTGTAATTCCAACCAGACACAGAGACAGAGGTGAAAGAGAAAGAAGAAACAAAAGGTGAATCAATGATGAACAAGAGTCTGCTTCTAGACCTGCAGAAAAGGGAAACACAACAGGAGCAAGCTATCACTGCATCAACCCGATAAGGAAATATAAAATCAACATTGTTTTACTGAACAATCACATGATAATAACTCACAGTGCATTTGGTGCCAACCACAGCCTTAAGACACGTGTTGAATGTTCCCAAGTCCATATGAGAGCACCATGTGAGCACCTGTGTGTGTACACACGCTTGTATATGTAAGGGGTCTCTATAGGAGCGTCCAATAGAGAGTGTGAGGGGCCACAGATCTGCCCCCTAAATATGTGTAGGAGATGGAGGGAGCTCCAAGTCCCAGAGATCCAGGAGCTGCCCCAGAGCACAGGGACCCCAGGGAGACTGCGACCAGAAAAGCCCCCGCCCCCTCTCGAGAGGAGCAGACGATCACCCCGGGGGGTCACAACCAGCAGCCAACAGAGTTCCGGGAGAAAACAGCGGCAAGCCCACAGGCTCGCCTGCAGCCTCTCACCCCCAAGCCAGTCGGGCCCAGAAACCAGCGACCCGGGACCCAGGGGCGACCACCCCCGCCCGGGACCCAACAGAGCTCATGGACTCAGATCCCACCAGGCAGCCACCGGGATCAACCAAATCTGACCCGGGAGCCGCGAACACTCAGCGCCACATCTATAAAATAAATTTTTTGTTGATTTAAAAAAAAAATGACTCCAACTTGTTCTTTCCGTTTCAGATCTTTTTTCCGGGTTACTGTTGGCCACAGCCTAAGCCTTAACGCCAGTAAAAACAACGATCTCCGTTCAGACGATCTCGGTTTCTCTTTCTAAACAACCGAACCGGAACGCTCCACACAACCGGCCAAGAACACCCCCGTCAACATAAAAGTCCAACCACAACAAATCGCAACCCGTTACACTATTGTAAAACAATGTAAAGCGTGAAATCTATAGCCTATATTTGTGCACCTCTACTAGCCATAATCATAGTTTGAAATGATTTTAAATATCATGAAACATTTAAATGTTACTTTGTTTTGAAAAGCCACTGGCTCTTTCCTGTCTAGCATCGGTGCTTCGGGTGAGCTTTTCATGAGACAGTCCGAAGTAGAGGAGAAAAATTTGCGTCCCGTGTAACATCATGAAGTGGCCTGATTCTGAGATTAGGTCATCTAACCCTGGCTATGTCACGTTATATATGGGGTGCCATTTTCAATCAATCAATTTCCCTCTGGGATTAATAATAAAGTATTTTTGAATTGAATTGAATTTGTAAAGTCAAACAGTCATAATCTAACAGCAATATTTTTGGTTATTTAGCATATCATAAGAGAAAAAATTGGGAGTTTACTTTTTCTAAGTCATTTTTTCACCATGTTATTCATGTTTTTCATATCTACCACTTTTTTAACTCTGAACCGCTTAAATAACCTTAATTCCCTCCAACCTGACACAGCCAAGCAAAACAACGTCGGACATGTTCAGAAGAATAGAACCGGAGATAAAACAAGTTCTGGTTCGGAGCAAGAGTTTATAAAGAAATTAGCGAGATCCAGCTTTTATTTTGGTAACCAGCTTCCGCTTTTTGGCAAGCAAATTTGCATATTAGCTAAATGTTTAAGTATCAGCTAAATATTTATTTTCCACGATGTTGTTTAGCTCGTGTCTCTTTAATCACAGCCTTCATCAGCAGGACCGCAGCTTCATCAGATAATAAAGATGAACAGTAGCAAGACCAAGCAAGGTGATATTCTATAATTAATAGGGTATTACAGCTGTGGGTCACAAGTAATGATAATAGAAATAAACAGCTTTTAAAGCAAGTTATTTAATCCAATTTACCTCTACTATTTATTATTACACCCGCCTTACTGACAGTCTCCCATTTCGAGTTAACACTGTGGATAAAGCGGGAGTCGGGAATTAAAAGCAGGTTCAGGTTTGGAGAGCGTGGAGCACGCTCACGTCAAACCAGCAACACAAAATGAAAGGGCAGGGTGAGCACAGATGATCAACAACTGTAAAAAAGACAGAGAACAGATAAATGAGCCGAGAAAATATCTTACTTTGAAACATCGGAGGTGAAGTACCATTTCAGGAGTAAATAAGAAGAAGGGGGCGTTCCCATTTTGGAGTGGGTGTTCCCGTTTACAAACAAAAACACCCCTTTTAGCGGCTGGCCGGATGATATTGAAGCTCCCACTCCTAGTGTCCAGCCCCTGGAGACTGGAGGCTATAAAAATCACCTAGAGCAGGAACTCTTCCATTTTTAGATGTTCTCCTGAACAAAAATCATCACACCATACCATACCAATTTATTTGTAACAGCGCATTTCAACACAGCATGAGAGCTGACCAAAGCTCCTTACAGAAGGTCATAATAAAACTGAATTAAAACAGCTCAATAAAAAGCAGACAAAGCAAGCAGTTTAAACAAAGAGAATGACCAATAAAACATTAAAAACAGCAAAAACAAGTATTAAAAAAGGTCATAATCCAACAGCCCAATCACAGAAATGAGTCTTCAGTCTTGACCTGAAGATAAAGACAGATGAAGAATGCCGAATGGAGATGGGAAGGGCAAGGGAGGGGCAACTAACACAAAAGCTTCCTGCCCCCTCGCTTTATAGTTCATATTGAGGGTGCTTAGCAGCAAGCAGTCAGCTGACCTCAGAGCGCACCGGCACATAGGGGTAAACAGCTCTGATATGCAGGAAGGTGCGAGGCCATTCATGCCTTACAGACAGAGTACAATTTTGAATTGCACCCCGAAGGTCACGAGCAGCCAGTGTAGATTGGCCAAAACCGGGGTGATGTGACTACTTCTGGTTGTTTGTCAAGAATCTAGCAGCTGCGTTCTGCACAATCTGCAGCTGAAGCAGGAGCACCAATGAACAGTGAATTTGTGCAGTCCAAACGAGAGTTAATGAAAGCATGTGTCACAGACTCCAAATGTGAACGTTTCAGTAATGGCTTCAGTTGTTTCAAACGACAGTTGAAAAAAAAAACACATTTACCAGCCACATTTGTCTGAGGGGCCATTAAAAATCCTGTATCCTATGATAGCCCTAAGATAGTGACACTTTGTTTGAGGTCAATACTAGGAACAGATGATGCACGTGAAACAGGGCTGGGCCGAAACTCAATATCACGATATATTGACGAGTTCACCTTGATGCCAACAAATGGATGATGATTACATGTATGCGCAAAAACAAAAGTTGTCCACTAGATAGAGCGGTATTAAGACAACGATGCATTTTCCATTTATCGCCCAGCTCTAGCATGAAAGGTTTCTGGGCTCAAAAAGAATGGGCTCAGTCTTCACCTCATTCAGACTCAGGACGTTTGCAGCCAACCATTCCTTCTTGTTGGAGAGACAATTTACAGCATGGATGTCCGTGTCTGGTCCTTTTATTGCCACGTACATCTGACAATCATCAGCACAGATGCGATAACTGATTCCGTGCTGCACATTTCAATAATCATGGCACAATTAAAAACATTGGATCTGCAGATGTGTTGTCGATGCGTAGTGTGTAAAAAATAGACTTTGTGGGACCAACAGCGTGAGCTGGAAGGGAGCTCGCAGGCAAAACGCTGTTGCTACACGCTGCACACCGCTCCCATGTCCTGTGGAAAGGAGGCTTCATAGTGTTGCTTAACAAAACTGATAAACTAACTGCTAGTATGAATTATCCGAGTTGTTCCTGCCACCTTAAAATAATTACTATTTCAAGGATTTTTCAGCATTTCGAGCAAACAATATTTCACATCATACACATTCAGATCACCATAAACGTTGAGCAGATATTAGCTCCAGAGCTAGCTCCTATAATCAATCAAATCAAATCAAAGCTTTATTTATAAAGCGCCATCCGCAACCCTGCCGGGAAGCCCAAGGTGCAGAACACGGTACATGAGAAAAACAGGTAAAACCATTAAAGTAGAAAACAAATGGGTAAAATAAGAGATAAAGAGACCGATGAAAGGAGGGAATTAAAATGAACATAAATGAAGGCATAATGGGCTCGACACACGGGAGACGACATCGCCTCTCCTCCATTCATTTTCAATGAGACATGCGCGACAAAGCGATAATTGTCTCCCTCCTACTAAGCGAAACGCGAGAAACATGCGTGTGAAATTTTGCGCTTGTGCACGTGTCGTGCACAGGTGACTCAGCGACGCGATCCAAGGAAGTTGAAACATTTTCAACTTTTCATCGCCGTCGCTCGGACGAGGACCAATAAACGGAGGTTTCATTTACTGACCAATGAGCGGACAGGATGCTTCGTACACCTCCGAGCAAACATGAAGGAGAAGTTAATTATTATTATGTTTTATAGTAAAATCAGAAGTAAGATTTCACATAACTCTAGCAGCACCTTGTGAAACATCATATCTACCACTTTTTTAACTCTGAACCGCTTAAATAACCTTAATTCCCTCCAACCTGACACAGCCAAACAAAACAACGGACGTTTCGATTTCGCCATGGAACAGAACACGTAGACGGCTTTGCCGCTGCCGCGGATCGCCTCCCGTGTGTCAGGTAATAAAAGGGACAGCGACAAATTTTGCTGATCGCGGTCGTTTGTCGCCTCCCGTGTGTCGAGCCCAAAACTCAAACTCATTCAGGGAATGCCAAGTGGAGGAGGTGGGATTTTAGGTGACTCTTAAAGGCTGGCACAGATGGGGATTGCCTGACTAAGGGTGGCAACTGGTTCCAGAGTGACGGTGCTAGGACTAAGAAAGCCCGGTCCCCACGAGTACGACACTTAGAACGAGGGACAGCGAGCAGGCCTTGGTCAGAGGAGTGCAGAGCGCGTGATGGGGAGTGTCTGTTCAGGAGCGTGGCCAGATTGGGGGAGCACTACACTGTGCACTACCACTATAATGTCATCTTAATAATAATCCTCCCAGATTAAACAGGAAATGTGAAGTACCTGTAAACATAAGTGTCAGAAAACAAAATTTGCATGAGCTGCACTGTTTTGAAATTCGAGCTTGACTTTTGGAGCTAGCCTCTGGCAGTTAGCTTATCGATCTGGTCTGGGCTTATGCTATTTCTCCAACCCATGGCCGTTCAAAAAGCTATGTGCTGTTGTTGAGACAATGCACTGGTTCTGTTTCCTCTTAGTAGGGTTAGGGATATTTGATGATCCTCCCCTCCCCAGCTTCACTGGCTGCCAGTCAACTTCAGGGTTCATTTCAAGATCCTGGTTCTGGTCTATAGGGCCTTACATGGACAAGCACCATCTTACATTGGTGATCTTCTTAGTCCCTACACCCCCAGCGGGTCCCTGAGGTCCAGTGATCAAAGCCTACTGGTTGTGCATCACCAGGCTAAAGACCAAAGGTGACAGATCATTTGCTGCTGTGGCCCCCAGACTCTGGACCTCTCTCCCCCTGAGCCTGAGATCAGTGGACTCAGTGGTCTCCTTTAAAAAGCAGCTGAAGACTCCCTTGTTCAAGCTGGCTTTTGTATGACCTTCTTCAACCACTCTCTCTTTATTCTGCTCTCCCCACCTATTCCACCTTCCTCAGGATCCACTGATTTCCCTCTTTCTTGTTCACTCTCTCTCTTTCTTAACATTTTTTCATTTAAATCCCAATAGTCTATTTTTTGCTCATTTTAAATATATTTTTAACCATTTTCTAATTTTTTTTTAAATATTTTTACATTTTTTGTTTTTGTGAAGCGCCTCGTGATTTTTATCTTGAGAGGTGCTATAGAAATTATATTTTCTTCTTCTTCTTCTTCTTCTTCTTTAAAACTATTTATTTACTTCCATCTGAACTTTCTGCTTCATTATGTGTAATGCTAAACGATTGTAACTTTTATTAAATTATTTTTTATCGAGACTAATCAAGGAAAAAGTATTTAATAATAAAACTGTATGAAAAAAGATCTGACAACCACGAAGTTTGTTAATTAACTATGTGTTGTGATGCTTTTCCTCTGATTCACAGCATATTTTATTTTGGAAAACAACCTCCCGCTACGATCTGCGCTGGACTCAAGGAGGAGGACTCTGACTGAAATTAGGACGATCACTAACGAAAACTTTGGTACAAATAATCTACGAATAATTGAGTCAGCCAGAGGGGAAAACATACCAGTGTGTGTGTGTGTGTGTGTGTGTGTACCCGTGTGCGTCTGCTTAGCTGCCATCCTGATCTCTTTTTGCTTTTAGTTTTTAATTTTCTGTCAGCTTCCTCTCCTCTAGCTAACGTTTCTGTGTCTATTCCTACAGAGCTCCCTCTGAAGCTCGTTTTCCCTCCCGACTTCTCCGAGTCCTTCCTCTACGGCCTCCTCCTCATCATGTAAGCTTTCCACAACTCGTCACAGTCTTTCGTGGTATTTACTTTAGTTTATCCTGTGAAATCTGTAACAAAAAAAACATATTTGTCTGAGAAGTTGTGCTGTAGATTTAAAATCTGCTTAAAACTGTTTATTGAAATCATCATCGTTTTTGTAAGAATGATAAAAGTAAGTGTTTCCTGACAGCGAGGGCGCTCCAGCTGAACAAGCTGTTACAGAGGAGTTCCGCCTGGACTGGGATTCGGTCCTGGCCGAATCAGAGCAGATCATTGTAGCTCGACTGGATGGTAGAGGGTCTGGCTTCAGAGGTCAAAGGTGAATTTTTTAGCTGTATACAGTAAATATTTTGAGGTTTTTTTCCACCCAAGCTTGAAGGTTTTTGTCCTTTCAGAGTTTTGGAGCAGATCAGTCAGAGGCTTGGCACCGTGGATGTAGACGACCAGATCGCTGCTCTCCAGTACGTCACTCCAATCTCTGGAGAACTTTGGAAAAAAAACTTAAAATATATTAACTTTCAAAAAATCAACTGGTGGAAATTTATTTTCAGATGATACCAAAACTAGAAAATGTTCCATTGTACTAAATATATAAATGGTTTAAATTAAGATAATTTATAATTAATATCTGTTCAGTGAAACTTTTAAACACTTAAAAAGGGGGTGGCATTTAAAAAAGGGTTTAATGTGTTAGTATTTTCCAGGCATTTATTAAATAATGTTTAACTCTTTACAGAGAAAATGAATAAAAATAAACTTTAGAAATATTTATGGATTAAAACAGAAATATGTTCATGATTAAGATGGGTTTTTTTTTTGAAAAATGAGAAAAACAAACATTTAGCTTGAATAAGTTTTTGTACTTTGTATTTTTATATTTTTTCCCAATAAATATTTAAATTTTTCCACCACTCAGAACACCCATTTATGACGTTACACCTCTAAATTTTACATTTATCTACTTAGCTTGACAGTTTTTGGTCGTGTGATTTTCACATTTTCTTTTTGAACAGAAAAAGATGTTTTTGCTTTTAAAAAAATTATTTTATTTCTCTTAATTTAAGACGTTCCAAATACTGAGAATAATGTATTTTTTTTCACATAAATATGATCACAAATTTTTATTTACATTTTTCTTTAAACGAAACCCTTTTTTACTCTACAGCCCACCACGCAAACACGTTAGTACACTATTTAAATCTATTTAAGATTGCAGCTTAAAACACCATTTAGTCACAATGGTTTGTAGCTCCTAAATCAGAGGTGTTAATTCCCTGCTGCTTTTTCCAACTGACCTTTTTAGTTGCTGAAGTGAAATAAAATACTAAATCCTGTTTGTTTTTAAATTAGACACCTGGTGAAGCTGCCTTACATCGATCACTCTCGCGTTGGAGTTTATGGAGTGGTTAGTCTGTCAAAGTAAAACTAAAGATCAGACATTTGTGAACTGCTGGAGCTGACAGGGCGTCTCTGCAGGGCTACGGAGGATATCTGACTCTGATGATGCTGAAGTCAGAGAGGATGATCAGGTGTGCAGCAGCTCAGGCTCCCATCATCGATTGGACCATGTGCGGTGAGCTCACAGTCACATTTATTACTTCTGCTGGTGAAACTCCTTTCATTTCCTTTGGATGTTTATCCCACATGATCTTTTTCATATGTATCATCAGAGTAACATCGCTTTAATTTTCATTTGGTGTGGTTATTCAGTCAAGTCGAGGAAAAAGACAGAAATGCTCCTGATGTTTCTATAGTCTGACAGACACCAAATCTTTTATTGAGGTATGGGCTAACGTGAACTGTTTGGGTTCTTTTAGCCTCGGCGTTGTCAGAAAAATACTTCGGCTCCACTTCAGCTGAGGAGAACAGATACCAGGTGAGCTGCCTCACTAATCCTCCTCTTAAAATATTAGTTCACTTGTAGTTTTTACAATAAAAATATTAAAGCTGCTTGAAATTCCGGTCAAAATCAAAGTTTGTCATAAGGGTTCGTCACTGAGTTTGGAAACACGAGGGATTTATTTCACTACTAGAAAATTGAAAAAGCTAGCATAGAAATCTAGCCTCTGTTGTAGTTTGAGGTGGTTACCTTTGGACCATACAAGCTTATGTCCAGCCAATCACAGGGCTCCAAATTTGTAGAGGGATGCTGAGTAGGCTTAGCACCAGAGCTACAAAGGTGGCAGTGTCTCACGGACGGTACTTGTTTGAAACGGCTTTGGCATCAACTTAGGATTTAGACTTGAGCTTTTCTTTGAGGCTTGAGCAGATAAAGATGCTTCCGTCCTTTATTTTCAAAAAAAGATGTATTTGCTTCTTCTTCTTCTTCAACGGTGTAAGGTGGACTGGCTCGTTGACTGACTTCTGTAACGTTAAGCATGTCGCTTTTTTTTTTCTTTGCTCTTATTGGTCCCAGCGCTGTCCAGTTGCGTACAGAGACAGTCTGAAAGACCACCATAAATTCCGCTCCACGACCGAGCTCTGTCTGTAGGTCGTGGCAAGACTATATATGTATATGTGTAAGATGACTTCCCAGGCCTGTAAAAAGCATCAACGCAGAAAGCATTTCTCTGCAGGGTGCACCCTATTTCATGAGAGGATATTTGTTCATTCATCAAAGTCTAATTCTAGTTTTTAATTCAAATATGAACATGTGTCATCAATAAGCTTTTGTCTGGAAAGCACGTTTTCTGAATCTATACCTAAAATATCTATAGAGTTCACATTTTAAGAAAACCGAAGGGACCTGCTTACATCAGCAGGTGGCAGAGTTGTGTTGTTTAGCTGTGATTAAAACTTAGAAGAGTATAAAGTAAAAGTAAAAAACTACTTTTATTACACTAGAATCATTGTAGACATACCCAGGGCTGGACTGGGACGGAAAATCAGCCCGGGCATTTTGAGCCGACACCGGCCCACCAGCTATTGAAGTAAAAACAATGATGCCTCATTTTTTTTACACCAGCTCTCTAGCTTGGTCCTCAATATTCCATATTCATCATGTTTTAGTTGTTTCCCTGCTCCAGCACAAAAACTGAGCTTAATGCAATAACACAATGCAAAAAACTGTCAACAGACCAAGAAAAACCACCGATGTCCAGCTGCTTATTGTGAAGTAAAGAAAAAAGTAAAGCAAAATATAAAATGTATCGAAAAACTAAGTTGCTTGTATGCCCTAAAGCTCATTTACACACACACACACTCACGCACGCACGCACGCACGCACGCACACACACACACACACACACACACACACACACACACACACACACACACACACACACACACACAAATGCTAATATTAATAATAATAATCGTAATTTAAACTCAGAAATCACAGCTAAAAACAAATATTGAATGTTTGAGTTTAATTCGTTTTGATCAGAATTTTCTCAAAATAATTATCTACTCGGATTATTTACTGAGTAAAATGAGTTGCTATGTGCAGGTTTTTAATTTCAATAAATATTACCACCAGGTCACACACACACACACACACACACACACACACACACACACACACACACACACACACACACACACACGTGTCACACCCTGTCCTTTCTCCCCATTTGGTTCGGCCTTGTGTCTCTGTTAATTGCTCCCACCAGCCTCTCGTTTCCCAATCACCTTAGCTCCCGGCCCTCGTGTATTTAAACCCCTTCTGTTCTGTGTCTTGTGTCGGATCATTGTTTCATTGTCCAGCGTGTCTGTCACCGCGTGCCGGTGAATGAAGCCGAGGTGAGGCGAGGATCCAGACGCGGGGAGGAAGACTGGCAGACAGGTAGGAAACTCTTAACTCTTATTTATTAGGATACACGCTGGACAATGAAACAATGATCCGACACAAGACACAGAACAGAAGGGGTTTAAATACACGAGGGCCGGGAGCTAAGGTGATTGGGAAACGAGAGGCAGGTGGGAGCAATTAACGGAGACACAAGGCCGAACCAAACAGGGAGACAGGACAGGGTGTGACAACACACATGCGCGCACACACACACACACACACACACACACACACACACACACACACACACACACACACACACACACACACACACACACACACACACTAGCAGAAGGCTGTACTCACTAGGTTCAGCGTTTCTTCTACGCAGCTAACATATGGATGAAAGTGAAATCCTGTATCCTCGCTCTGTTCTCACAGGGAAATTTTCGGATGCACCTGACGGCGGACAGATAGCCAAACTGAACCGGAACCGCTCCAGTAACCGGTCTTAAGCACAACAAATGTTGTAAAAAGATCACACGGCTACCTCTGCTTTTAATTTTCTTGTTTTGCTCTCCAAACATTGGCGCTGCACTAAAGGCTTGTTAGCTTTTCTCCACTAAAAGTTAGCTTAATTAGAAGTTAGCTTGTCGGTGATTACGTTTATGATGGAACTAACTGGATGAATAGATTTCCCAGCATGCTTTGTTTTGTAAATGTTAAAATAAAAATTAAATAAATTAATTAAGACTTATTTTTTTACTGGCAACAAATGTAACACAATCATTACTTGAATTAGAAATGAAAATGCTGAAGAAAATTAAAGGGTGACACATAAACCAGCTGCAGATGGATGGAGAGCTGCACCATGACTGAGAGATGGAGTTGGGCTGGTAGAATTATGAAACAGTTTCTTGAAATATCCCTGATAAGAGACTTACTTGACAAGAGCTACATACACACACACATATATAATATATATAGTCACGAGTGTCGGTCCACAGCAGCCCAAAATTACCGGCAGCCCACTGGGCAAATACCTGCCTTGCCCGACGGCCATTGCAGCCCTGGATATAACATAAAATGAGAAGATGGTGATACCATAAAAGTAGAGAAGAGCTGCAATGGTAGCCTAAAGAATTCCAAATGAAGTGGAAAAAAAACTTTGTGGAAACATTGAAAATATGCAAAAATATCACTAGATGCACAACAAACGACTGTTGCTTTTTTCTATGGATTGTCTCACGTGTGTGTTTTGCCCTTGCTCTGCCATCTATACTTGCTACGACTTGTTAACGTCTTCAGAAAAGGAGGAAATGAACCTCATTTGGAAGTTGGTATGAAATCAGAGCATGCCTGCAAATCGGAATGTGGTACAATAATTTTTATTAGAGCTTTTTGGTTGATTACATTACCTTCGTGTAGATTCTGTCATCCAGGGCATAATAATCTTGAAGGTTCTTTTTTTAGAGCAGAAATACAGATTGAAGTAATTGACCTAACGTTTAAACAAAACTATGCAGAGCTACATCTAAGCGATGGATATTATGTGAAAAATGAGTGTTACAAAAACACAGAACATGACCACTTTGATTCGTTAAGCACCGTCTCACTCGCCTGGCAAGGACATTTGGTGGCAAGTTGCCAAAATGTCTCAAAGCTTTGCTGTCAGTCGATTTTTTAAGATTAAGTCAAGGTTTCCCTTATAGAATAATCACAGAGCCATCATCGTTTTAGCATCTGCAACTTCAAAAGTGCGAGAAATTTGAGGCAGGTTTGAGGTTTTGGAGACCTAATTGAGACCACATTGGAACAAAACAACCAGATATTGATCGCTTTAGTGATTTTTATTTAATTTTTTTATTTTTGCAGATTTGTTTTTAATTAAGTTTTAAATATCCTAAACAGAGGTTTTGGTAATGATTGGTTTTCTGCAAAGTAAAGATGAGGTTGAAGCCCGAAACGTCGCCGTCCTCCGTGTGAAGGTTGCAGTCGGAGTGCATTTTCCTCCTAAGTGGGTTGACTTTAACTGGGCCAGAGAGCTCTATTTTTGTGACTCTGTCAGCAGGATGGGGGGTCTGCTTTAAATGAAATCCAGCAACAAGGAAACCGTACACGATCCGATCAGACAGAACCCCGCAGGACGTCGTCAATCGGCTCGACCTCAGACAGACAGACAGAGGAAGAAATGGGATAGAAAATAGGATGTTTTCCTGTCTCTGAATCCCAGCTGAGAACGAAGTGGCTGAGAGGAGTGAGAGGTTGAGACTCTCTCTCTTTTAACTGTTAAATTCCCCTAGGAATGAATACAAATAGAATCTGGATCTGGTTTTATTAACCAATAAGCATAAGTACGTATGAAAGAAATATAGTGCCATTTTTATTTCAGGTTATCTATTCAGACACTTGATCAAGTTCTTATATTCTTTAAATAGTGTTCAAAAACAGTAGGGCTGTACAGTTGATTTTCTTTGTATTTAAGATTTATATTCGAGCTCCAAACGATCACAAAACATTAAACTGAAACTAAAGAAACCAACCTTTTTAATAACACTGAATCCCTGGCTGTTTCTCAACACCCAAGGACACTCGTACGTTCTTGTGTTCTTGGCACGTACACTAAAACGTCAGTTTTACCCAGTACGGGAGGATTAGGAGGCCGTTTGGAACAGATCTGTCCTTCGTGGTGTCATGGCAACAAGCTACGCTTAAAGAAAAACCTGACATAAAAGTAAAACTAGTTTGTCCGTTAAATAACAAAATAACAAAGGATACATATATTTTAACAATATTTGGTCCACTTTTGTTCAACACTAATTAAATACCAGCATTCCCCGCTGTTAAATGAAGAAAAGAGCTCTAAAAGGGAACTCCCGCTATGAGGACGTGTGTGCCCTAATAAGCCACACGTTTTCTGTTGTACCAAACTATGTTGTTAGAAACACACACAATATTGCTGTTTATTTATAAATCTGTAATATTTAGTACATTTTTGACATATGTAGGACGCCATGTTTTGTGCACGCTATGCGCTCTGGGGACGATGACATATATTGGTTGCTCTTGGAAGAATAGCTGTTGATGCGTGTTTGTTTACGCGCTCACCGTAATAATAATGAAGTAAAATGCAGCATTGGGCTGCTTTTGGATGTGAATTCCAGTCAGAGGACAATGAGGGGAGTGATGGGAGTTTACACAGCTTTCCCACTGGCAACGAGAGGAGAAAGCGGTGGGAAGATGCCTGTGGACGGACACAACTTCCCAAAGATCCGCGGCTGTGTTCCCAACATTGTTCTCCTGATGCGTTTGAGGCTTATAGTCTACCACAACTACTTAAAGAGCTCACCAGAGCGGCTGGGTATAAGAGAAGGCTGAAACTAAATGCTTTACGCCCATTTTCCCAGACGAGGAGCCTGAACGCCCTCGAAGATACGAGAGACTCTGGACGCTCTCCTGAACAGACAACCCGCTCCTGCAGCTGCCGCTTCTGTCACGTTCAGCCAACCATAGGACATGCCACTCGTCACGGATGAAGGTGAACATTCACCTCTCCCGTCACTAAAACAAGCAGTAAGTGTAGCAACACAGAGTTCTCCACTTATATAATATCTGCAGAAATGATTAATGTCGTTTCACTGAATATCCTAATCATCCATGAAGCACATGGCAGCTCTGGATGCTAAAATTCTCCTAAATCATTCATAACTGAATAAGTTTGATCACATGATAGCTTACCGTTGACTTCTGCTGACAAAAATGTGAGCACTCTCCCTCTCGGTTACCACGGAGACACATTTGCCGCACACGCACCTCCGGTTTAGTCCTGCTCTCGCTTCATCCCGCCCTTCTTGCTCTTCATGTTGATGCTCGTTTTGTGAAACATGGTCAGTGATGTCATCACATTAATGTTTCGTTCAAAGTGAAAAGGCTGAACAGATGACATGTTGATGTCGCTGAACAGTCACTACAGGGTCCGAAAGCCGGCCAGTGCAACCGAGGTACAACCAGATGATGCCACTACCCAGAGCGCATTGCGACGCAAACAACAATGGCGACCTACGAGTTAAACTATTTTTTACAAATTTTATAAAAATGAAGACATTAAGAAGGTTTTTTACACCACTTTAATATAACTGATACTAACATTTGTCTTTTAAAAACCAAGTTTTCTAACCTGCCTTCCTTTTAAAGCCAATGCTGCTTTTTTTGATAGTGGGTTAGCTAATTAGCATTTTGAGGGATTGTGAAGAGTCTGGAAAAAAAACAGACACACGGGAAAATGTACACGTTACACACAATTATTTACAATAACAGACAAATTTATATTTCTTAACTTGTATTTCTGATTTAAAACGTTACAGTTATGATGTTTGCAACATAATGCATTATGGGGTACTTTGCTGCCCCAATTCTGCGGAAGGATGCATTGATGCATGCATCCTCGATACAATGGGTGAAGCAAGAACACATCCAGGAACTTTGAGTAAAATTCCCATGAATTGTACTTAAAATGGAAACAGTGCTTGGGCCATCGTTGATGACGTTTCACAAGGAGGTGAGTCCACAAGTTCAGACAAGTACACATATTGACAAAACGGACCTGCAGGCTACCATAGTGTTATACGTGCCGGACAAGTCGAGGTCGAGGTGAGGATCCAAGTGCAGGGGAAGAAGGCAGGCAGGCAGGAAACGTTTTACAAGCTACTTTATGAGGACGCACACGGGACATTGAGACAATGAACGGACGAGGAACACACAACTGGGAGGGTTTAAATACAAGAGGAGCTGGGATCTAAAGTGATTGGGAGATGAGAGGCAGGTGGGAGCAATTAGGGAAGACACAGGACTGAACAGCGTGGGGAGACAGGACAGTTTGTGACACACAGCAGCTGTTTTCTGCTTTTATAGCAGCACTTTCTGTTGGTGTTAGACTGACTGATAAAATCAATCAAATGGAAAATGAAGCGTAATTTATTTTTGTGTCTGTTGGAATTTTTAAATTATATCTGATTGTAACCAAATGCATTGGCCTGACTTTAGGTGCTCTATGTTGATTCTAGTGTGATAAAAGTCATCCTAGTCTCATCATTTATATTTACAGTAACATAAAACTGCTTGTTGGGTCTACTACGATCTGCTCTGTGCTCAGGACCATGTCATGTCTGCTGCCTGCTTAGACCTGATTTCTGGTCGTTTAGAGGGGATAAACGACCACCTTCAGGACCATCTTGCATATAGATTCTGTTTGAGCGTGCCATGTGCCATCTCTTAGTAGAACGTATACACAAGTGTTTTGTGTGTGAGGCTCCAGATATGTTTTTGAGATAAAATATTTTTGTATTTTCAATAAATGTGGATAATTATGAAAAAAAAAAAAAAGATTTAAAAACACATTTTTATGGCGTTTTTTTTTTTTTTTTTTTTTTTTGGTGGGTAATTTGATTAACATTCTAATTTCCAGGTCTCCAAAGTGCTGCCCGGTATGAGAGGACTTCAGGGAGGAACTCTGTTTCTGGCCCATGGCACTGCTGATGGTAAATGCTGCCTCCTCACGCAGAAGCAACCAGAAAGCTCAGATGTTATTGTTTTGTTTGCGTCCTATCCATCCATCCATTATCTGAACCCGCTTGTCCTAATGTGTGTAAATGAAAGTAGCCATGATTCAACTCGTCCTTAATGCGGAGCTTTACAATTTAACCTCAGACTCGTCTTTTTACAGCGTTGGATTTGACCTCACAGACACTTGTTTGCATTTTTTTTTCTCTGCAGCAAACGTCCATTTTCAGCACTCAGCCGAGCTAATCAAACACCTAATAAAGATCGGCGCCAACTACACGATGCAGGTAAATAAAGCTCACTGACATTCAACAGCTAACTTAAAAAACAATGAGAATATTTGCACTTTCATTTAGTTATTCCGATCACCTTTAGCTGCATCTTGTACAGCTACTCTTCCTGGAGTTGATGTAATCCAACACAGGATAATATACATATGCAATAATGCACCTAGAATATTTATATTCTAAATAATACCAAAAATATTAAATACTCCACCACTCACACTAACGTTTACAGGGCCTAGACAGCCACTATTTTACAAATATTAGATAACCTATTATATTACAATAATGCAATTATTTCATAGTAGTGCAACTTATAATTACAGTGATTTTACACAGGAGATGAATTTTTGTTTAGCATTATCTGCAAAAATGAGTGAATATAGTCATCCTCACACAACTGATTATGCTCCACCCACAAGAAGTCAAAGTCCACCCACATTCTGTCAAACCACTAACATACAGGTAATCTGTAACTTTCCAAAAATGTTATGAAACAAACATATTTTAAGGAAAATGCACATGAAATTGAATAGTTGGGTTAACTAGTGATAGTCCAGTGTTTAGATAAAAATAGCTTGCTTTAAAACTTTTCAAAGTTTTGGAGGGATCTGAATCAGTCTTCATTTTTTTGTATGATTTTGTAGCCATGGCGCCACTCCTGAGCCAATGTAGGGAAACACTGAATTATAGAAGGAAATTTCAAGGATTCAAAGCTATACTGATGTACAGTGGGACAAAAAATATTTAGTCCGCCTTAAATTGTGCAAGTTCTCCCACACAAAAAGATGAGAGAGGCTTGTCACTTTCATTATAGGTATACTTCAACTATGAGAGACAAAATGAAAGAAATAATCCAGATAATCACTTTGTCTGATTTTTAAAGAATTTATTTGCAAATTATGGTGGAAAACAAACATTTGGTCTCCTACAAACAAGCAACATTTCTTGCTTTCACAGACCTGTAACTTCTTCTATAAAAGGCTCCTCTGTCCAACACTTGTTACCTGTATTAATGGCACCTGTTGGAACTCGTTATCAGTATAAAACACACCTGTCCACAACCTCACACAGTCACCCCGGTTTCACACTGCTGGCATCAGCGGAACGGAACAGCAGCGGAGCGGCTCACTCGCGAACTTCAAAGCAGTCCTTTTCACACCGGGAGAGTCTTGGCCGCGACACTGCTTCCTCGCTGCGCCTAGCTGTACCCGCGAGATTCTAAAATCCCTCGAGATTTCCAACACCTTCCTCATCGAGAGATCACAACCCCCGCGAGGAATTACACCGTTGCACTTTTCGACAGAAACTGGTGGTAAACAAAGCCGTTCGGTCGCACGTACTGACATAAGTTATATATGACATCGCAATGTTGCATTTTATTTTGGAAATAACCGGGGATTTTACACTGAAACCGTGTGGTTTCCTGTCTCGCACTACGTGAACTGCGGAAACTGACGTGTCCCAGAAGCGGCCCGTGGAAAAAAATAGAACTCAATCCTGTCTTTAGCGGCGCGGTGCGGCATGCCGCTTCTGGGACGTGCCTGGAAATTGCCACGTCGCGGCTGGTTTGAAACACTCCATAGACTATAATTGGATTCTATTTGAAGCGGTGCCGCTTCGCTGCCGTTCCGTTCCGCTGATGCTTGCAGTGTGAAACCGGGGTCACACTCCAAACTCCACTATGGCCAAGACCAAAGAGCTGTCAAAGAACACCAGAAACAAAATGGTAGACCTGCACCAGGCTGGAAAAACTGCATCTGCGATAGATAAGCAGCTTGGTGTGAAGAATTCAACTGTGGGAGCAATAAGTAGAAAGTGGAAGCCACACAAGATCTGGAACTCCATGCAAGATCTCATCCTGTTGGGTCAAAATGATCAGAAGAACGAAGAACAACAATCCCAGAACTACAAGGGGGACCTAGTGAATGACCTGCAGGGAGCTGGGACCAATGTTACAAAGGCTACCATCAGTAACACACAACACCACCAGGGACTCGCCTCCTGCAGTGCCAGATGTGTCCCCCTGCTTAAGCCAGTACATGTGCAGACCCGTCTGGAGTTTTCTAGAGAGCATCTGGATGATCCAGAAGAGGACTGGCAGAATGTCACATGGTCAAATGAAACCAAAATAGAACATTTTGGTAAAAACTCTACTTGTCTTGTTTGGAGGAGAAAGAATGCTGAGTTGCATCCAAAGACCCCCATTCTGACTGTAAAGCATGGGTGTGGAAGCATCATGCTTTGGGGCTGTTTTTCTGCAAATGAACCAGGACAACTGATCCGTGTAAAGGAAAGAATGAACAGGGCCATGTATCGTCAGAGTGAGAGTGAAAACCTCCTTCCATCAGCAAGAGCACTGAAGATGAAACATGGCTGGGTCTTTCATCATGACAATGATCCCAAACACGTCACCCAGGTGACGAAGGAGTGGCTTCATGAGAAGCATTTCAAGGTCCTGGAGTAGCCTAGCCAGTCTCCCGATCTCAACCCCAGAAAATCTTTGGAGGGAGGTGAAAGTCTATGTTGCCTAGCAACAGTCCCAAAACATCACTGCTCTAGAGGTGATCTGCATGGAGGAATGGGCCAAAATACCAGCAACATGGATTTTTCTTCTTATTTTGTCTCTCATAGTTGAGGTACAGTACTCAGCATGAGTATAACCCCTTAAAAAGTACTAATTTAATCAGCAGCTCAATGAACAAAAGAATAATTTCCAGAATTTTCACAAGGCTGGGTTTTATTGATCACTTGTTTAACTCCATAACATGAAATTAAGGTTATTAATATAACTTAGATCACAAAATCTTCAGTTTTACTAAAATTGGTTGAAGCAAAAATGACAACGCCCCACAACAAAAACTACTACATCTAGTATTTTCTATAGCCACCGTGATTTTCAAGGACAGCACAGTCTTCTAGGCATGGGATGAACAAGTTGGTGCGACATCTATCGTTTTCCATTCTTCAGGAAGAACCTCTCTATGAGCCTGGATGCTGGATGGAGAGTGACCCCTTCTTTCCACCGGAGCCGTCAGCAGCATGTTACTGCAGCAGCACATCATAGCTGCTGATAGAAACCGCTGTGGTCAACAGAACCTTTTCCACCACAGCCGTCAGCAGCGCGAGTCGGCCGCGTCTCAGGAGCAGCATGTCGCGGCCCTTACACGCCGGTTCTATTTTCTACGCGCGACACCTCTGAAACGGGTCAAGTTCGACATTTTTGGGGAAGGAAAGACAGCTGATGCCCGCACTGCCCGCTCACCACAGCCATGGAATACACCTCATCAACACTCACTAACACCATATTGGAGAAGGCAGAGGGAGACTAGGGGTCTTAGCCACCTCTGTTGTTGCTAGGCCTCCTGGGGCTGGAGGCTAGCAGGGAGATCCGGCCGTCTGGTTGGGGTTTGGGGTGGTGGGTTGCTGTGCTCAGCGTTGGGCGGGGGAGCCTGCTCATCAGCACCCCAGCAGAAAGGGTCAAACTCTGGTTACCGGTGATGGTTGTACCCAGTGTGCAGCAGTACCGGGACCAGAGTGAATAGGGTGTGTATGGGGAGCATGAGTGGGTGTCCGGCGTACGTTTTTGTAAGTCTTGGGTTGTATGTGCATGTGTGAGCATGAGGGAGGGAGTGTGTGACTGTGTTTGTGTATGACTGTATATGTCAGGTGGGGCCTTTGACTCCTCCCCTCTCCTGGAACCTCTCTTGATGATATAGATCTTTGTCCCCCCTCCCCCCGCCACACCTGGTGTGAGGGGTTGTGCCATGGTCTGCCTGAGTGTTCGTGGCAACCGGGTCTGGGGGTTTTAAGATTTTGGCATCTGCCTGTTAGATCCCGGTGGCTGCCTGGTGGGGTCTGCGTCCCTGGGCTCTGCTGGGTCCCCGGCGGGGGTGGTCGCCCCTGGGTCCTGGGTCGCTGGGTCCCGGGCTCGGCCGGCTAGGGGGTGGGAGGCTGCGGGCGGGCCTGTGGGCTTGCCGCTGATATCTCCCAGGACTCTGCCGGCTGCTGGTTGTGGCCCCCCGGGGCGATCCTCTGTGCCTCTCGGGGGGGGGGCGGGGGCCTTCCTGGTTGCAGTCTTCTTGGGGTTCTTGCGTTCTGGGGCAGCTCCTGGATCTCTGGGACTTGGAGCTCCCCCCGTCTCCTGCGCATCTTTGGGGGGGTGGATCTGTGGTCCCTCACACTCTCTGTTGGGCGCTCCTATAGAAAAACCTTAAATAAACAAGCGCGTGTACACACACAGGTGCTCACATGGTGCTCTCATAAGTATGGGCTTGGGCACGTTCAACACATGTCTTAAGACTATGGTGGGCACTTAATGCACTGTGATTTATTATCGTGATTCTTCAGTTAAGCAATGTTGATTATATATTTTCTTCATCAAGTTGACGCAGTGATAGCTAGATCTTGTTGTATTGTTGTTGTGTCCCTTTTTTTTGTCTTTTTCTGCAGGTCTAGAAGCAGACTCTTGTTCATTGTTTATTTTTGTGGAACCCCCCCCCCCCCTCCTCTCTCCCCACCTTTTCCTTTCTCTTTCACCTCTGTCTCCGTGTCTGGTCGGAATTACAAAGCATTCAACAACAATAACAATAAAGTTTTAAGTATCAGGCGTGACATTAAAAGCAGTCGCTTTGATGCTCCACCTGAGTGTAAATCTGTAAGGCTTGTCACCAGCATTCAGACATCAATTCTGCTTGCTTCACAGCCAGACAGGACACGGTTAAAAAAAAAAAAAAAAAAGGTTACTAACTGTGCGGCCCCATGAGAAGTTATCACCTAGCTAGCGGTCTCCTTTGTTTTTCAGGTCCGTATTGGCGATTATAAAACGGACAGAACATAAAACACAGACCTTTTGGAGCCATGTTGTAGTTTTCTCCTGCTTGTTGTGTTTACTGACGAAGTCACTCGTGTGACTTCGTGCTCTGTCGGTGACAGCTGCTCCCCTGCTGCTTTGCGTCTCGTGGGAAGGGCCAAGCAGCAGCTTACGCGAGCAAGACATGCTGCTGCAGTAACGTGCTGCTGACGGCTCCGGTGGAAAGAAGGGGTGATGCTCCACTTGCTGCTTCAGAAATCCCCACAGATGTTGGATTGGGTTCAGATCAGGAGATACCATTCAATCACATTTGCCCTGTTCTTCTGCAGAAATGCAACAGTAGCTTTAGATGTGGTTTTGGATCATTGTCGTGTTGGAAAAGTGCACGACGACCAAGAACATGGAGTGATGGCAGCATCTTCTCCTTCAGTACAGAGCAGTACATTGTTGAGTTCATGATACCATCAATGAAATGCAGCTCCCCAACACCAGCAGCCCACATAAGGACACCGCCACCACCATGCTTCACTGTAAGCACCATGCATTTCTCCTTGAAGTCCTCACCTTTACGACGCCATACAGTTTTGAAGCCATTAGTTCCAAAAACTTTTTGTCTCATCACTCCAGAGTAAAGAGTCTCAGTACTGAAGTCTTCATCTCTTTCAGCGTGGGCTCTAGCTAATCCTAGGCATGCTTTTTTGTGCCTGGGCTTAAGGAGAGGCTTCCTTTGTGGACGATACCCATGCATGCTATTCCTCTGCAGTGTGCGCCGTATGGTGTCATGGGAAACGGCCACTCTAGTTTGGCTTTCTACTGCTTTAGCTAACTGCAGAGAACTTGCCTGGTGATTTTCTTCAACCCTTCTCATCAGAAGATGCTCCTATCCAGATGTTAACCTCTGTGGATGGCCTGGACAGCTCTGTAAGATGGTTGCACTTCCATCTTTCTTAAATATTTGGATCACTTTTGCTACAGTGTTCTGACTGATGTGTAAAGCGTTGCTGATCTTCCTGTAGCCCTCATCTTTGTTGTTTAAAGAAACGATTTCCTTTCTCCGATGTTCTGACATTTCTCCTCCATGAGGAGCCGTTGCTGAGAGCATGAAATGGGAAGGGCTTTTCACCTGTCTGCTGTACACCTCTTAAATGAATCATTAGACTCACCTGTGGCTGAATACCTGTTAATTTGAATTTTGTAGTCTTAAGTGTGGTTTTTCTAAGACTAGATTTGGGATGTACTCATTTTTGCAACATGGGCTTGAATGGATTTTTTAGGAAAATCACTTTTTTGTGTGTTAAAATGAACAAATCTTCTTTGCAATCATTAGCTGTGTTTCCATGACCAGAATTCCTTGGTGATTCCTGGGATGGGGAAATTGACCAGGAGGTGGGATGTCCCAGTCCTCTCAGTGGTGTCTCCATTCCAAATCAGCCTTTTCAGAACTTTGCACTGACGTCAGCATATCGCGACTGCTTTGGTAGTGAGTGATGTCACTGATCAGTGTCAAAAAGCATCCACAGTAACATTAATAACATTAAAAGCATTTTCTCTGTCCAAGTAAATCATATTTGCATCCATTCAGAGGACCAGAGCAGCTGTGTGATGTAAAATGTGGTGTTCAATGACCAGAAGAAGTCCCATATTTTTACAGCGCTCTGAGACAACAAAGCCCTGTTAATTAAGTCTGTGGGGGAATTTCTCTATTTTTCCAGTGTCGGGAGTTTAGCAACAGATGTGGGGGAATCCCGCCATGTTTTCCGGTGTCAGGAGTTGGATTTTAAGCGTGATATGTGCTTATTTTCCTTTGCTTCCATCTGCTTCACCAGCAACTCTTCTAATTTCACAAATGCCAGTTATTTTGGACAATGTATGCTGATGTCATTTCCTACTGAGCTAAAACCAGTCAGCATGAGTTACCCAGAGGTTTCGCTCAGCTTCTCCACCAGGCTGTTCGCAGTACCTACCCGTGAGCTGGTACACAGAAGGTTCCTGAGAACGGCCGGCCCGGTCGTCGGGAGGTTCCTGGAAATCTACCCTGAAGTTCCGGTAATGGAAACGCAGCTACTGGCTCACATGTGTGGGAGTATTTTTTACTATGGTGTCCCATAGTTAATGTTGATTCTGAAAGGAAACCAAAGGTTTTCTGGCAAATGTAGCGGGGTGTACTCATTTATGCTGACCACTGTAGGCCTATAATGAAAGTTACAGGCCTCTCCTTTCTTTTTAAGTCGGAGGACATGCTCAATTGGAGGCTGACCAAAAAATGTTTGCCCCACCGTAGCTTCAGAGGGAAACATTTTTCTCTGCACAGTGAAACTACTTACTTTACTACCCACAGTGAGCGCCAAAGTACAATTAGGTATAACATAGATGAAGAATGTTCCTGTCTTTATTTATGATAAGGTTTTTGCAGGTGATGAGGGGGAAACAAAAACGTCACGCTTTCTGAAAAAATGTAACAACTAAATAATAATAATTTATAAAACAATATTTCTTACTTAAAATGATATATTTTAAATGTAATACTGGAATAATAGGTAATAATAGCACCCCCTTGCCTTTAAGGCTCAAGGTAAACATGGGTTTTGTAGAGTCAGAGTGACCTTGTTTCTTCTCTTCGAGCAGATCTTCCCAGACGAGGGTCACTTCCTGTCCAGACACAGCCGGATTCAGCTGACTCACTCTCTAATTGGATATTTCAGAGGATGCTTGTTCGACACGTCATTGTTACTCGAGCAGCGGGATGATGAGTGAGAGGGAAGAGGGTCATTTATGTGTGTTAACATGTGTTTGTGCCCCTAGTAGACCATGTGTGTGTTTGCATTTTATACCTGGTAGCTGAATCATTTGCTGGACAAAACAAGCTTCTTTGTGAAACCTCAGACTTGTAGATTTTGCTCTCACAGTTTAGCCTGTCCAGTGTCATTCTGCAAATTTCATTTATAATCAGAAACAGAAAGGGAATTTAAAGAGTATTAAAAGGTTTCTGATTCCTCCTGGAAAATTGCTATTTGGGATACTCTGAAGTGGGATTTTGTGAATGATCTTCATTTGGAGAGATTGAGTTTAAATATGACCAGACTGATGAGCTAACAGCTAGTCCAAATGCAGCCAAAGTGGATAACGTGGTTGTTTAAGTAACTATAATCTAAAAATACAAACACTGCTTAATAAACCTTTTCTGTCAATTTGAAACCACACATGTTTTTGAAGTTACTTGCAAGAGCAAATATCAGAATTAGCTGCTAGCTGTAGCACGTCTGATGCAACCTAGAGCAGTCCCTGCTGCAAAGTCATACGTTTGCCGTAAAAAAATATCTACGTAATCCAGCTTTCCTAATAACTTATTTTGAGATAGTAATAATCCATTATAAGGGAGTTTCCCAACTGCCTCACAAGTTCCTGAGGTTTCCTAATCTCCTCTCAACTCAAATTTTGGTTATATTTTTAAATCAATGTACGGTAGAGGAAAATAAGAGAACTTTAGGAGGAGTTGGAGATCAATGAAACAAAGTTGTGACTGACTGTAGACAAACAAAAGCCAATCTTGACATTTTGAGACTAAGAGCTGTGATATACTTTAATCTCGCATTGGAGCAGGCAGCGTCTTATTTCACTTTCCTGCAGTTACACGACACTGCATGCAGTACTGGAGTGTTCCACTAGGGGGCGCACTAGAGGACTCAGAATGGATTGAGAGCCAGGTTTGTGGGTACAACCAAATCAAATATGGCATCAAAAAAAAGAGCTCACCAGCTGGTTAATTTTGAGATCACGACAGGAAAAAAAGACAGTAGCGATATCGTAGATGTGTGAAAGACGGAGTCACCACGGTGAGTGTGTGTCGCTCGTTTTGTCACCTCCACCTACTGGTTACTCTTATATTACAGCGTTTAGACGTGGTGCGTTAATTTCGGGGCATGCGTACAAACAAAGCTTCAAATATGTACCGCGTGGCAGCCATTTTAAACACGCGTTTGCGGCGTTAAACAGCAAGTATATCACGGCCCTAACGAGTGAGCAAAACAAGATATAAATAAAACTACATTGCAACAAGAAAAGGTCAGCATTCTATTGCAATCTGCAAGAAATTGTTATATGTACCAATTTAGTGTGATTCCAACGAACATGTTGCGTATTTTCGCTCAGCTGTTTGTCACAACCCAGTGAGACTCAGACTAGCCATTTGCTCTTCAATCCGATCAAACTTAATCTCAGGAGCTGTCTACAGCAAAAACTAGCATCTAAACAAAAATCAGCTGTGTTCACTAATTTAATTTGGTTTCAGTATCACGTTAGTGAATGGATAACTTATTGCAGGATGTGCTGGTGCCAAATACTGACATATTTATTAATAAAATTAGGTGCTCCGCAGAGTTTGTTAATCCTGGTGTTGTGCTTAATAGCTCCAAAAGGGGGCGCTCAACAATTTTAACCCAGAAATAAATCATAGGAAGAAGAAAACAGTAAAACGCACCCTAGCACATTAAATTCTCAAAAGCATTTATAATTTATCAGAAATCCGATGTATATGGATATCATTATGATTTTATTGATGATATGGTGTTTATAAAAATCAATATTGTGGACCAAAGTTCAGTATCGCATCTGGAAACATCAGTAAAGATGTTATTTATAAATTTAACACCTGCAACCGTTTTTTTTTTATCAGAATACAAATTTTAATTTAGAATATTTTAACATTTTTAAATCAAATGTTTAGGTGAGCTAACCTTTGTTGTTTTGGAGTAAATAAGCCATGTTGCTGTTTGATCCGTCGTAGGTTCAGCTACACATTTAGTGAATGGGTTATTTCAACACTTTTCCCTAGAAAATATTTAAAGTATAATATTATTTAAAGGAGGAATATGTAAACTTAGTATGTATGACTTGTCTTTGCTTGTCATCTAGAATCTTTTGGCGCTGATCTGTGACTGGCAACAGCCATGAAACCAGCGGAACAACAGTAGGAAAGTGACATTTTCTTAAAGGCTGCAGTAACCAGATTTGACCACAGGATGTCGTTCCTCATTCTCACATATTGCACCTTTAAATATTTAATGTTTTAAAATCTCCATAGAACAAATTGTTTGAAAATTCATGTTTTAGTGTTTATCCTCATTTATTTACATGAAAACAAGACTGAAATAGTCATTCTTTATAAACTTAGTGGACTAAAAACAATAAATATGAGTGTTTGGATTGGTAACAAACAACTAAAGTAAAATTTGTTGAAATGTGTTTTCAATTATTTACCTGAGGATAAAACTCTAACGTAAAAGTGACACATATTTGATTTTCTTGGAGTTTTTACCCAAAAGTTGTGTTCATTTAGACAAAAAATTAAAAACCCAGTTAAATTGGGTTGTTTTTTTTATTAATTTGACATTTCAGCAATAAGATTTATATTTATTAATGGTCTTGCTGTTTTGATGTCTTAATCTTTTTGTTTTTATTGGCAAAAGACTGACTTTTGAAACCAATTTGTTGCCTTTAAGTTTGAATTTAAGTTAAAGTTTGGACTAAATGTGGAAACAATCCCAGCTTGTTCTTTATAATACTGCCTTTCTGTACGTTTTTGTGCCTCGAATTGAAAATATTTTTTATAAGCCGATTGTTTCTGTGTCTAAGTTGCTGTAAAAAATATTTAGCTTAATTCATGATCAATTATATTTAGTCTAACGTATTGGCGTGTTTGGAGCTCCGTAGATTTGTTATGCCGAAACTAAATGTTTAGTCTTTGAGGTTAAAGTGTGTTTTTTGTATTGTATATTTAACAGTTTCAGTGTTTGTACAGATTTATTTATGACTTTATAGAAGCACATTTCACACCTTGTTTGTTGTGGATTTTTGTTTTCAGCCGATGACCTAGATTTTCTGTGACGGAGTGAGAATTTATTTTAATACAAGTTTTTACTTAACGTCCCTTTAAGTGTCAAAATGCCAATGGTGTTTTGGTCTGTGCATTCCCAACTGCTTGGACTGGAAAGGCGAAACATTCCCAGGCGATGAAATGGAATCGTAAGTGTCACGGCTCCACAGCAGACGAGTGCACTCCTCTCTGTTATGATGGTTAAAGAGAGCGAGTCCTACAATTACCGTCACAGAAGAGTCATTAATCACAGGATGAGCGTGCTCAGCAGCAGCGTGCACTCAAAGTGTCTGGAGTTTCATTCCAACGCACCAGAACAAAAACACCAGTAAATAAAATGGAACAGAAAAAAAATAAATACACAAGCGCTGCAGTTACAGGAATGGTGGTAAATTTCCCCCATGCATGGCAAGCAGGCGGTTGTCACGGCAACCGCCTCCTCCTGGCCCGGATACGGCCACCCTTCTAAAACGCACTTAGAGATGAAACGTGGCGCGAGCAGCTGCTGATGCAACACCCTCAAAGCCATACACACGCTCATCATGAGGAGGTGTCCTCTGTGATGCAGCTTGAGCTTTCATCTGATTGTTAATTTTAGGTGAAAGAACTTATTATTTCATGTTTTTATTAATAAAGGTTGATGATGGTTACTGTTTTCCTGTTGTTGAATAATCACAATAGTAAAACTTTATTTTTATTTATGTTCCTCTTCACTTCCTGAGTTGAAAATGTCTCTAAAACTAGTTCAAAGCAAGTTCCCGGACAAGCCCCCAATTTGTCATGAACCAGCTCATTTGAAATATTTTATTTAAACCTAAAATGAAATGATCTTATGGTGAGAAAGCCAGTTTGGGAACCAGTAAACATCAAAAATAGTTTTCTAAATTTTTTTTAAAGTGACAATGTGTAGTTTTTACCATTAGTCTCTGGAAATATCCATTAAATTACATAGTAAATGTCCATCAACATTTTGTAGATACCCAGTTATTGAAAAATATTGGCAGTTTCATAACATAACCATAAAAATCTGTTTTAAAATACATGGAGCGGGTCTATCTCTGGGCGACACCATGTTGGATGCCATGTTTCCTTCTACGGAAGTCTGTGAGGACAGAATGCATTTACTGATTTGTAACAAATGATTACAAAACTTTCACCGTTAATAAACATTGTTGCTTCACACATTTACCTCTTCACTCGTTGCCAGTGATGAAAGGGAATCTGGCGTTCTTGTTATTTTGCTGGAGGTTATGCTCCCACTGATTTTTGACCCTAATGGCCATCCGTTGGTAAGGTCGTACTTGAACACAAAAATAATGCTTGCTTGCAGTGATTTAGGTATGAACTGCCCTTTATCTCCAGGGAAACGACACACTGCCACTTTAAAACTGTTAAAAATATAACAAAAATTATTTTAAAATATTCAGATAAATTTTGTAACCCCTGCTGATTTTGGAAGTGTGTCCACACACAAGAACGGTATGAGGCAGAAAATTAACCAAAACATAAAGAAAAATGTTTTTTTTAAATGATCAATTAATTGCATTTTGCATTTTCATTACTGTAATACGTACTTGATCCCTTTACAAAACGTGCTTTATATTACTTGGTGGCAAAACTGTTGGTGATCACTTACTTGCCCTGTAGTTGGCCACACATTGAGAGGAGACTTTGTTCCACTCCTCTTTGCAGATCCTCTCCAAGCCATCAATGGTTCATAGGTGATGTTTGGCATCCCAGTAGCCCAGCGGGTTGTCCAGTATCAGATGGTTGTAGGTTCTGTAACGCCAGAGAATACTGCTGTTGTGTCCTTGGGCAAGAAACTTAACCTGCCTTGTCTGCTGGTGGTGGTCAGAGGGACCGGTGACGCCTGTATTCGGTAGTCTCGCCTTTGTCAGTGCACCCCAGGGCAGCTGTGGCTGCAATGTAGCTAAATATCACCAGCGTGTGAAAGGATGGATGGCTGTGGTGTGAAGCGCCTCGAGGGGTTGTAGAACCCTCAGAAGGCGGTATAAAAATACAGGCCATTTATCATAACTCAACCTTTTAGCCTGCTTCACAGATTTTCTATGAGATTATAATCTGATGACTGACATTTACTAAGCGCTTTCTTGATCCAATCCTGTGTTGCCATGACTGATCGTCGTGGTTTTTTTTTCAATGCTGCACTACCCACCAATGATCCACTTTCAGTGCCCTGGCTGAGGAAAGAATGTTCTCGAACAAGATTTGTTGTTGGATGTCCCCCATCCATCCTCCTTTTGAGGTGGTGCCATTGTCTTGTGCCTTTGGCTGAAAACCACCTTCATGTTTGACAGTGTAGATGATGTTCTTGGAGCCAGAGGCAGCGTTCCTCCCTCTCTAAGCACAGCAAGTTGAGGTGATGTCAAGGGTCTCATCTGATGATGCTTTCACCCAGTCCCCTGAATCATTTTAATGTTTAGTGGCAGACTTCACATGGGACTGTACCATGTGCTTTCTTGATCAGAAGGACCATGTGGACTCAAGGGTTTCAGTCCATCACGATTTTGTATGTTTCCAACTTTCACTATGTTGCCTTCAGATCATTCACAAGTTCCTCCTGAGTAGTTGTGGGCTGGTTCCACATGGTTCTCATTATCATTAAAACTCTGTGTTGTGAGATGCATGGGGCTCCAGACTGAGGGTGATGGCATTGGCTTACATTTGCAAATAATCACACAAACTGTTGCTACCTTCTTACTCATCTGATTGGCGATGGTCTTCTAGCCCATTCCAGCCTTGTGTAGATCCATCACCTTGTCCTCGACATCCTTGGAAAGCTCTTTCTTCCTCGTCTGTGTGCCGAGTTTGTGGTCTGGATTGACGACAGATGTCTTGTTTACAGGAAGCAAGTTGAGAAAGCTCTGAATGTCAGCTTGTTACTTGTGTAAAATACACCTGAGAGACAGAAATTCATCATGATAAAAGCCTCATATGTATGCACTTGTCCAGTTCTCTGTCCTTTTATACTCAAAATCTGCGAGCGAGTACCGTTTTTCCTAAAGTCACTTACCATATACCGTAATTTCCAGACTATAGAGCGCACCTCAATATAAGCCGCACCAACAAAAAAAAAAAGGTTTTCTACACACACACACCGCACTCGAATACAAGCCGCGGCGCAGCAGCCACATGCAGGTCTCTGGCACACAGTGCATGTATGGCCATAACATAAGATAATTAGACAGAAAGACGCTGCACGGAGGTTTATCGTTGTTGTTTTGATTCAACAAAATGAATTTTAAACACGGGTGAAAGTGTCTGCAAGTTTAGAAAAGAAAACAGCACTGATAGCATTCATATTTCTGGATGGTTATAAAATAAAAACAGAACTGACACGTTATTACCGGTAATTTGCATGTTTAGAAGAAAAGAACAGCGCTGACACAGCATTAATAAGCCTGGATGATTAGAAAATAAAAACTGCACACAAAACATGCCTGGTTAGTAAATAAAACACACTCGCCTACCAGAAGAAGTCATTCTCTCTCATCTTCCTCTTGCGCACTAAAGCCATTAAAGTCCTCTTCTTCAGTGTCGGAGTTGAACAGCCTCAGAAGAGCTTCGTCACATACCTTTTCTGTGGCGATGTCAGTGTCACTGTCCATGTTGCTGTCATCATCCCCGGGTGAAGCTGGCTTGAATGAGTTCTTCCTGCTGCCGTCTCCAGCGCCGAACCATGGATTCATTCATGCCAAGCTTACGTGCGGCAGCACTGTTTCCCTCCTTTACTGCCAGATCGATGGCCTTCAACTTAAATGCGGCAACATATGAACTCATACGTGTAGTTACCATGATGAGGGGTTATGGATTTGAAAAAAATTCTCCGTCGTGCCGGCTGCTTGCAAGTGCTAAATTAAAATGAGCACTTTCTTCCATTTCCACTTTTGACTTCCACCTGTTTCACTTTCTGCTAAAGCGCCCCCTGGCAGGTGAAGGAAAATCTTCAGTAAAGCCGCACCTCATTATAAGCCGCGTGGTTGAAAGCGTGGGGAAAAAGTAGCGGCTTATAGTCCGGAAAATACGGCATTTGTTTGTTTCATGTTAAGGTGCAGGTGGAAATTCTTGTGCTGCTAAACAAAATAACCAACCACAGGTCAATGGCTCTCTTCATGTTAACTGCTGCTGAATGAGCCACACATTTAGGAATGAAACGCCTCTTAAAAGTGCTGTGGCACCAAATACCTAACTTGGGCAATGAACTAAGGAAAACAACGACAGAAAGAAAAGAAACATCAAACAAAGAACCAGAAAGACAAGAACCAAAACCAGTGCTAACCCTTCCATATGTCAAAGGCATAACAGAAAAAAATAATAGCAACAATGAAAAATCACAACATAAACTCACCAACAAAACCATACATAACAGTTTTGTTGAAACGTCAGTGAAACGAGGTAACAAACAACTTTTTTGGCTTGTTCAAAAAGAACAGTTAGATGGAACACACAGTGAATGTCCAAAAGATGCTCTGGCACCTGTTTTCATATAGGGTCAAATACAAAGGTGAGGCCACACACCCTTGTGGAGGAACACAGTGGTCAGACACAAAGCCTTTCATCCTGACCTTCAGTTTCCTTCAGGTTAAAAATGTAGACTCCAGCTAGCCAACAAGATTATTACTGATGTCAAATTATTCTAAAAGCCTCTGGATCATGTGTGGTTGAATTAGAATAAAGTGCAGAAGAGTAATCAAAGAAGCAGAGCACGGGACCCACCCAGTTCTAAATGTTTATTGGGAAGGTCATGAAGTGTAAGTGTGGCCACACCCCTTCTTGGCCTAAGTAGGGAGCCTAAAGCTTGGTTTATGCTTGACACATTTACTTTCCGCTTGGTGATCACTGATGCGGCTCGCGGATGGAACGCGCTTCACAACTTGCAGCGTTTATATGGAGCTAGGATTGGGACAATATTCAATAGAGCTGAGGAAAATAATCAAATAATCGATGCATCGGGATGCGGACATAAACGATTCTGCATCGTAGAAGAGTACGCCATAATTGATTATAGTGGAATGTAGTTTTTTTTTAATGGCGGCACCAGCGCAGCATCCAAATCTGTCAGAGTGAGTGTCCTCCACATTTACCTCCGCCTTAATGTGGTACTGCAGGGCTGAGCGCTTGAGTTGTAACCTGAGACCGAACCGGAACCGAATCAGCCCAACCGGTTCTGTTGGATTTGGGCCGTGAATTATGTTAATTGAGCGGGTTGTCATGCGGCGCGCTCCGCTCGCTCGCACAGCAACTGAGAGAGAGAGAGGGAGAGAGACTGTCTGCTCACACAAGAGAGAGGATCGGAGGACTCTCCTCCAAACCGATGCTCCAATAACGCGTTATCATTTTCATAATTTAATTATTTCTCCTGGAAGCGCTCAGTCAGACCGAGTGTTGTGATGCTGGGAGATCCGGTCTCGGGGGCGGGGTCAATGACGGCGGCTGCAGCGTGATCGTCTGTCTCTTTTATTTAGGAACACGGAGAAGTTAAAAGGAGAGAGAAATAGAAGATAGAAGTTCTTGTTCCACTTTATTCTTTTGTTTCATGATGATAAACTGATGTAAAATTCAGCTAAAGAGAAACTGGGAGGAAGCTTTGGTTCATTTTAGGTTACAGGAGGCATGTTTCATGACACGTAACTTTGGATTCGTAACTTGTAACTTTAGTTTTCTAACTTGTAATTCTCGATTTGTACTTGTATTTCTTGTTTTGTAACAGGAAAATTTCATTTTGTACGTGTATTTTTTATTTTGTAAAATCAAACTTTTATTTTGTACATTTACTACTCATTTTGTAACATCAAACATTTATTCAGAAACATGAAACTTTCGGTTTTTACCCAGCAGACTTCCAAAATAAAAAAAATCAATGTACATGTTTGAAATCAAAACTCTCAAAACACACATTTCATTCTACAGGTACAAACCTCAAATCTACAGTGTTACGGATCTTTTTGTCTCAATTCTAGCGTCAGTGGGAGGAACTTGGGTGGAACCAATGAGAGCACGAGTCTTAGCTACCAGTCACGTTTCTCGAATTCCTGTCCAATCATTGGGAGAGGAGGGTAGGGTTCTGTCAGAGCCAAGGCCGGATTAACCATATGGGCAACTGGGCAATTGCCCAGGGCCCACGAACTCTAAAGTGCCCAGGGCAGCAAGAGCAGGAGCAAAATACTGTCGGGTTTTTCATCCAGGAAAAGGGATCGAATTATGGGGAAGCTGTATATCCTACACATCCAGGGGAGCCGGAAAAAAAGTTTTCTAACTATATTACATAATTTATGGACTCTTTTGAGCAGAGAGCACAGAGAGCGTCTACTCTCTGAGAGTCACGTGACGTCTGGAGCTCTATAGCGCTGATCGTTGGTGTTCAGCGCTCCAGGCTGCTGCTTCCAGCGCACGGTCCATTCTCAAAGTGGCGCAACAAAAAACTAATTAGCACACGATCGTTCATGTCCGCACTTGTTCTCTACTTTCTGTCTTATTTGTGCCTGAAGCGCTCTGCTACTGCGGAGCTCATCACCTGTGCTGCGGTGATTTCACCTCACTGACGCAGCATCGAAACGCGCTCTCCGCTTTGCGGTCAGGAGATCCCTTTGAGCTGCTCAGAAGTAACTGATGAGGTGAAAAAGTAAGAATCCAGGCAGCAGTTTTTCTGGAGAGTTTAGAGGAGATGCAGGAAGATGAGACACACAGGACAGGAAATAGTTAAATAAAAACAAGAAAACTAAGTAAAATGTAGGTAGATTTATCTCCACTACGCGTTTTTACCTGTACACACATGTAATAATTATACATCTGATACAATTCAGATCACCTTCAAAACTCAGTCACACACCCAGGGCCGTTTCAAGACATTTTGGGGGCCAAGGCAAAATGACCCACCACCCCACCCCCATAGCTGGGCTCCCCAGAAGCATCTGTGTAATCCATACCCTCTCCAGGAGTATTAGCTATACAGTGTTTGTAAAAACCTCTCAGACATTACTGACATGTTCTAATATTATCAGATGAAAAACTAAATTATCAGACATGCTCTCATCTGCTTCTTTTCTAAACTTGCAAAAAGTAACAAAACCATTTGAAAGCCACTATTTGTGGACTCTCTGAAAGTTTCCATGGAGTGTGTGACAACTTATTTTTTCATTGATCATATCGTCTAATCTCACAGCTGAAACAAGCATCCTTAATAATCTGTGCACAGGAAGCTTACCAATGCTGTAGTAAAACAAAAGGTATAATAATTTATTATTAATAAAACCTTGTTGCAGCACAAAAGCAGAAAAATGAGATTTTGCAGTAAATATGCAAAATATTTACATATGAATTGTTTTAGAGCCCGTTTATTGGCAGAATCTGATATTAATTTAGTTCTTACAAAAAATGGGTCCCAACATGGTTTGTGTGGTGTTGCCATAGTGTGACATCATAGGCACAGATCCCCTGTCCTCTTGTTTGGAAATGGAAATATTATCACCCTATATTAAACAAACTGTCCACCCAGGCTTTTGCGCTGCACAGAGACGCTTTGCTGCCAATGACTGAACGTCAGTTGAGAGTCAGTCTCATGCAGACTGACCAATGAAGAGAGGGCCTCAAGTTAAGACCCTCTCCTCATTGGTCAGTCCACACGAGGTTACTCTGCGGGTTACGTGATGTCAGGCATTCAAGTATTGAGTATATTTACTGCATATTATAGTAAAATATTCTGAATGTGACCATATTATGGTGATCCTTGGGTCGTGATGATGGGGCCCTTGAATATTGTTGCCCAGGGTACAGCAAAGTCTTAATCTGGCCCTGGTCAGAGCTGTAGAAAGAGAGTTACGACACTCCAATCGACTCCTAGGGACAGAATGGAATGCGGGATTGATAACAGCTTGTGTTTATTTAAAATGCAAAAGCTATAAAAACATATGAAAATTTTAAATATATGTAAATAAATATGTCGAGCTGGCCATGGAAGCTAATCTTCATGTCGCATCTCTGGCAAGTTTATTAAAGATTAAACAATAAAATATTTAAAGTAGCAAACTAATCATTTTTATTCCCTTTTTGTCACATGGAGAGGGAGGGCATCAGATTCAGAGTCTGGCAGGTGAGATTTAAACTGAAACACAGAGTTAGACTGTAGCTGCAGCACCAAACAGAACATTTATCTTTTCTTCTGTCCTCCTGACCTTTTCTAAATCCCCTGTCCAGCGCTGGCAAGACGCTGCTTGGGCTGAACTTTAATTACATCAAAGCAATTACAGAGCCAACATGAAGGCCTCTTCCACTGAGGAGGAAAAGCAGCAGTAGAAACTGCAGAAACGGAGATTTCAAATGTGGACTGGGAAATTACTTTGTCTCTGGTGGTCCTGCAGGCCGTCCTGGAAGAAGAAAATTTGCGCTAGTTTGGCAGAAAGGAAAGTTTGCTTGTCAGATTTTAAAAAGCATGTGTGTGTGTGTGTGTGTGTGGGGGGGGGGGTGTCAAGTGTCAAATTATAGCCTAGTTCTGCCTTTTATTTCATAACGGCAAAAACTGGATTTATAAATCCGCTGCATCATCCTCACATTTATGGATTCAGATTATATCGGTGATCATTTGATCGATTACACAGAAGGAAGTTTTGGCAGTAATTAGCTATTTTAGTTTAGATTTGAAAACTTTGATGGTTGTGCAAGAAATAAAATGCATGGGAATGAAAGAACTCGTGTTTCACTCAAACTGCAAGGATGCATCCTTTAGCATTTAAATGATCAGTTGTACCACACTGCCATCTGGTGGTGGACAAACCCCTGTTCAGTCAGAAAACTTTATCTTTAAGTTTCCACTGAATTTATAATCTTTTATATTTTTTCATGAGATGACAGAAAATAATCTTTATTGTTGCCACTTTTCAGCATGTTTTGGTTGTTTCCCTGTTCCAACACACCTGCTTTCGATCAGTAGATGAACAGACTTCTGTGTAGCTTTGTAACCTGGTGACTCAACCAATGAATAAGGTCTATTGGAGCAGTGAAACATCTAAAATCATGCTGGACGGTGGCACTCAAGGACCAGGAATATCTACCCATTTTAAAGGTTTAACTAGCCCATTTTATCTTTCCAAGGACATAAATTGAGTTGTTGGTTAAAATGAGTTCATTTGTAGGTATTTGGCGATTTAAACAAGAAAACTTTGTGACACAAGCTGAAAATGTTAAAGACATTAATTCGTAAGCAGATGCGTTGTAGGTGTAAACAGCTTTATTTTAAAAAAAACCAAACCAAAAAAAAAAAAAAACGGTCTTTCAAGAACTATTTTTCAATGAAACCAAACACCATAGGATTCGTAGAACTGCCAATATGCAGCACGTCAGGACATCACATCTATGGTCAGATGGATTTGGGTCTAATACTCTTCTCCCTCTTCATCCTCTTCAAATGAGTCAACGCCAACCTCTTCATAGTCCTTCTCCAGGGCAGCCATATCCTCCCTGGCCTCGGAGAACTCGCCCTCCTCCATCCCCTCCCCTACGTACCAGTGGACGAAGGCCCTCTTGGCGTACATCAAGTCGAACTTGTGGTCCAGTCGGGCCCAGGCCTCAGCGATGGCGGTGGTGTTGCTCAGCATGCACACGGCTCTCTGCACCTTGGCAAGGTCACCCCCAGGAACCACAGTGGGGGGCTGGTAGTTGATGCCCACCTTGAAGCCAGTAGGACACCAATCCACAAACTGGATGGTGCGTTTAGTTTTGATATTACTGATGGCCACGTTGACATCTTTGGGCACCACGTCACCACGGTACAGCAGGCAGCAGGCCATGTATTTGCCATGACGGGGATCACATTTCACCATCTGATTGGCTGGCTCGAAGCAAGAGTTGGTAATTTCTGCCACGGTCAGCTGCTCGTGATAGGCCTTCTCTGCTGAGATGACAGGGGCGTAGGTGGCCAGGGGGAAGTGGATACGAGGATAGGGCACCAAGTTGGTCTGAAACTCTGTCAGGTCCACATTCAACGCACCATCAAAGCGCAGGGAGGCAGTGATGGAGGACACGATTTGACTAATGAGACGATTCAAGTTGGTGTAAGATGGACGCTCAATATCCAGGTTCCTGCGGCAGATGTCGTAGATGGCCTCATTGTCCACCATGAAGGCACAGTCAGAGTGCTCCAGGGTGGTGTGAGTGGTCAGGATGGAGTTGTAGGGCTCCACCACAGCTGTGGACACCTGAGGAGCTGGGTAGATGGCAAATTCCAGCTTGGACTTCTTGCCAAAGTCTACCGATAGGCGCTCCATGAGCAGTGAGGTGAAGCCAGAACCAGTACCTCCTCCGAAGGAGTGGAAGACCAGGAAACCTTGGAGCCCTGTACACTGGTCAGACTGAACAAGAAAATACAATTTACAACGCTAAACTGAATAAAAAGGACTTTAATTCCAACTCTAAATGAACTATAAATGACAGGATGTCGGGTCGTTTGTCACCCTACTCACCAGTTTGCGGATCCTGTCCAGGACAGAATCGATGTGCTCCTTTCCGACGGTGTAGTGGCCTCGGGCGTAGTTGTTGGCAGCATCCTCTTTCCCTGAGATCAGCTGCTCGGGGTGGAAAAGCTGACGATAGGTTCCAGTTCGGACCTCGTCTGAAGGATCATCAAGGTTGACAGTTGGTAGATGTGATTAAACACTCAAAGTTGACGGTAATTTGAAAACTACGGGTTGTTTCTACAGACCACATTACTCAATGGCCACTTAAGAAAGGCACCAGTGTCATTTCATGGAAACATCTTTTGTTTAATCAAAAACAAGCTTTTGTTTACTTAAACTTCAACCAGACAATCTGGTTTAAATTACGCAGACGCCCTAGCAAATAACAGTTCCCAGAGTCCTTACCAATAACGGTTGGCTCCAAATCCACGAAGATGGCCCTAGGGACGTATTTCCCCGTGCCCGTCTCACTGAAGAATGTGGTGAAGGAGTCATCGTAGCCTCCGGTGGGCTTGTCGCTGGGCATGTGACCATCCGGCTGGATGCCGTGCTCCAGGCAGTACAGCTCCCAGCACGTGTTGCCCATCTGGACCCCAGCCTGGCCCACATGGATGGAGATACACTCGCGCTTTGGAAGACAAATAAATAAATAAATAACACCACAAATCAAGTCATTTTATTCAGTGTTTGACTAAAAATTAAGAAATGGAAAGAACGTGGGAATTATTCATCATATTTAGGCCTAAACTTGTCTTAACCTGTGAAAAAGTGACAGTTAAGAATCTGAAAACAGGGTGGAGTCTTTATTTCTGGTGCCTTTGAATTCCAGTTGGCAAGAACGTCAGTCATCTTTGAAAATGTAACGCCACAGTCAAAACAAGCGTCACTGGTCTAAAAAGAAAAAGTGCAGACAACAGGCGGTGATTAGGACAGTGTCGTCGGTGAGTCTGCAGAGGCCAAAGTACTTACACACCCTGCTGAAGTATTTCTGGCTGATTTAAGAGATCTAGGTTAGAAGTGTGATTCATCAGTCAGTCCTGGGGTGCAACTGGTTCTGTTAGTACAACTGGCCTTTTTAGAAGCACCACATGCACTATTTTGAATCACTTTTCAACAGAAATACCATCCAAATGTCACGTGTTTATGTCAAAATACCATTCATACCAGCAGGATGAGGCATTCAGTCCAAGCAAACCTCTTTATCTTTAAATTCATTGAATAACTGTCAAAAGGCCAACATGGAGGCAAATCAGACCCACATCCGTGTGGTCTGACCTCCTGATTAAACAATGATTCTTTACTTTACACCCAGTGGGTGTTTTAGCTTTATGGATGAAGAGGCCAACTTGTTTTGAACGAGGGTCTCCTTGAAAAGGCCCGACGAGGACAGAGGAGGGGTCGCTGTGCTCGGTATGGAAATAGCCTGCTATTTTGAGTCAGGGGTCACTCATTCCAGCAGACTTTACCCTACTAACCCGTTTGGACGGGGACTGAAATGCAACACGACTTCTCAGAAACCTGGAGCACTTTCTCCACTGCAGCTGCTGTTCAGACCCAGGCGGTGAGGCAGGTTTTTGGACTTTCTTCATTCTGGATCTATTGTGGGTGTGGTGGCCAGTGCTGTTGCAACACACCACTCCTGATTCACACTTTCACGCTTCCAGGCAAAAACAGGGTGGAAACGAAGTCGGTTTTATGCATCATGTCCTGAATAGTACAAGGTCATGTTTGAGCCTGACATCTGAAGGGAAAAAAAAAAAATTCCCAAACTTGTGCAGCATTAAACTGGGAAACTAGATTCAGAGCTGGCATAGACCTCAAAAGGCTAAATATAACTCCTCGTGAGAGCTCCTTAAGCTCCAGAGCTGTTATCTTGTGGTTGCAACCAGGAACCAGGAGCCGTTCCCTCTGAACGAACTGCAAACATTACAACACCCTCTTTGTTTGCAGCGGCATTAGTGCGTCAAAGTTCACGGATATGGATTCCTTTATTACGACGGTCTACAAAAACTCTAAATCCGGCAGCCCAGCAGCAGGAAAACGAATCCTGGAAGCCACATCAGCATTCCCAGTAGTCCTCCATTTCCCCATATGGAAACAATTACCCTCTGCTCCCTGGAAGTTTGTTTCCACTAAATGTTATTTTTCAACATTTGCAAGAAAGCAGAAGCATCTGCAACTCCGATTTAAGAAGGAAGTGTGAAAACAGGAAACATGAGTCACATCTCAGCACAGAAAAGTGAGAAAAGTTGATTTTTATTAATAGTTTTATTAAAATAAACACCAGAACTTAAAAGAAACAGACAAAGTGTTGAAACTCACCATGTTGTCGTTCTGATCGTCTGTTCCGAGAGGAAGAGGTGGAAGTAGGTTTGTTTCTCACAGCGAAACCTTAATGAGCTCCCTGTGAGGGAAAGTCCTGTCAGCGCGTGACACACACGCTTTTAAACCTGAAAGGGACAGGGGGCGGGGCTAACAACAGCTGCTGCTTTATTTTTACACCCGACCAACACTGGTTGTTTTGGCTTTTCATAATAAAACATGAGATGAGGTGATTTTTCTAAACCAAACCAATTAAAGCGAAAGGGCTTTTTTAATACAGTTGGTTATTTGTTAAGCTTAAGAATCACATGTTATTTATTTATTTTCTGAAGTCATGTATGACATAATAAAGTAAAAAAAACAGACAAGGCGTCGTTCTGTCCTAGGGTAAACAGTTACTCAACCCTCATGTGGTTTCTTGTGAGGCCAAGTTGTTTACATTTTTTATCTCACAAGCTCTCAGGTATTTAGGTCATGAAAAACAGCAGTTCTGCTCCGAACCACTAGATGGTGGCATTGTTCCAGCTGTGGAGACCTCTGTTGGTGCTAAAATCCTGTTTTATTGTTATAATTGATATTTTTCATACATTCTACTAAAAAGCTGAAGAAAAGGATGACTTTGTGACAGGTTCTCTGATGTGTTTGCACTATCCTGGGTTTCGAGAACTTTTTTGTACCTTGGTGTTCCAAATGTTGGACTGCAAGTGGCTTAAGAAACAAAATGGTCAAGTCCAAACAGGGTCAAAGACTGAAACTGGGTGAAAAAGCAGCTGAAGGTCGAAGAAAAGCTTCAGAAAGAAGAGTTATTGATCAGAACCATTTTTCTAAGATTAGAACATTTGGCAGCCTTGCACACAACAGCATGTTTTTACAAATTCTATAAGGGAAGAAAATATCTATTTCCTATAAACGAAATTTAAGATAATTTATTGAAAATATGTTAAATTAGAACAAATCATTATTTATCAAACATTAGTTAATTCAATTCAATTCAAGTTTATTTATATAGCGCCAAATCACGACAAGAGTCGTCACAAGGCACTTCACATAATAAACATTCCAATTCACAGTTCATTAAGCCAATCAGAAATAATGTTTCCTATATAAGGAACCCAGCAAATTGCATCAAGTCACTGACTAGTGTCAGTGACTATACAGCAATCCTCCTCATACTAAGCAAGCATGCAGCGACAGTGGAGAGGAAAACTCCCTTTTAACAGGAAGAAACCTCCAGAGAATCCTGGCTCAGTATAAGCCGCCATCCTCCACGACTCACTGGGGATCGAGAAGACAGAGCAGGCAGACACAGACACACAGATACACAGACACACACACAGACACACAGATACACACACACATACATACACACACACACACACACACACACACACACGTAATGTGTCTATAGTTATATTGTGATGTCTTAGTAAATATTGTATTTGGTGAAAGATAAACTTTATTGTATTTATCCTAGTGGATCTATAATTAAACGGATAAACTAGTATTAGCACATCAAAAGTCAATGAAAACAAAAAGTTATTATCAGGATGTTAGCATTAGTTTTGTCTGGAGAAACTTGTTGGTTACTGATATGTCAGCTCTGTTATACATGTATGGGGAAAACATCCACATTAAAAAATAACGTTTTATTTCATTACATAAAATTGAATAGTTTCTTCTTGAAAATAAATTCAAAAACAAATATTTGGCCTAAACTGAAGTGTTTACATGAATGTTTCTGTAGGAGTAAACAGTTTATTAAAACTCATGAAATACCAATAATTGTTTTAAAAGAGACACATTTTTTCATGTCATATTATCATACAGAAAAAGTCAATCAACATTTTAAATGATATTTAAGAGAATGGTTATAATTTTTACAGTAAAACAATTTTTAAAAAGAGACGACCACAGTCACAGAATTGACGGGAACATAATTCATTAGTTTCATGAAGGATTTGGTTGTTTTTGATAAAATGTTAAATTTTTAAATAAATATTATAAAAAGTATGTAAGAAATCAAAAATTTAAAGCTATGTTGAAGCACAGCAGATTGCACTGAGTCACAAATTTGTGTCAGTGTCTTTACAGCAACATCATACTAGGCAAGCATGTAGCAACCTGGCTCGCTCACACACACACACACACACACACACACACACACACACACACACACACACACACACACACACACACACACACACACACACACACACACACACACACACACACACACACACACACACACACACACAAGTAGTGATTCTATAGCTGCATCCATTGCACTTTCTTAGCAGAAATTCTATTTTTAACTAAATCAACTTATTGTCTTTACTTATTTCAACAGCCGAACTAGTAGTAGCACATTCTATGTTAATGGAAGTAAAATGTTATCATCAGGAGAGGGGGAGTGTTATGTGGCTGGCAGTTACAGCAGTGCACCAGCTGATGGCCCCCTCTAGGAGGCTATCTCAGCTCAGACAAAACAAGTAGACATTCCAATGGTCCTACACGGCTACACAAGATTTAGAAATGGGGCAATAAGGTGCATATTTCTAGCTGGATCTCCAACAGTAAGTAAGTACATTTTATTTATATAGCACTTATCACAGACATTGAGTCACAAAGTGCTTCACATAGATCAAAACAAAATAAACCTAAGTCATAAAATCATAAATAGATTAACATCATGAAATCAAAATGCTCTCAAAACAGAATTTGATTAACATCAGGAAAATTAAAGTAATAAAATTATAAATTTCCATAAACAGATGAAAGATAAAAAATTTGAGTTAAAAATAAGAAAATAAAAGGCTTAGTTAAAAGCAGCTTTAAATAAAAGTGTCACACGCGCAGGAGGATTGGACCCAAAATGCAGAACACCACAACTCGAGGCAGGAGAGGTCATTTAAATAAAAAAATCCTTTTACAGTTTTTCTCAGTTGCTTTGGTGCATTTCTCACAACAGAATTAAACTTTGCACAACAGTTAGTTCAACCTCCACAACATGTAGTCGTTTTGGCACAACCTAGTGGCGGTTTCATGTTCATTTCGGCAAATGCCTTTGGACATGAAGCAGTTGAGTAAGTACAAATGTCTAAAGAATGGTCACTTTTGACTTGCTATTCATCACTATCTCCTTGCTTTTATCATGAATGCCACAATTCTTTATACTTGTACCGGCTGAATAGCCATTGTCCTTACAACTAATAGTCTTTATTTCATTGCATTGCACTCAAAATTGTTGAACATCTTGTCAAACAATTTGTACACCCATTTTGAAAACCCTATTTTTAAGGAATTTCCATGGAAATCTCCATAAATTACTTTTCTCAGGTGAACCTTATCTCACACTAATGAAAATTGGTGTGTGTCCTGGTGACAATCGGGCAATGTATGTAGTGGTTTGGGATACTGTTAGCTTCCATCACTCTGCTGTAGTCAGGCAGTTGTTTGCAGCACACGACAGGATGCACAGGTGATTCAACCACTGAATTAAGTGGGTTGGAGCAGAGAAACCACAAAACCTGCTGGATATCAGCTCTCCAGGACCAGGATTGGGCACCCTTGCTTTAGTCTCTTTGAGTATCTTGAGACTTTGTTAAATTACCTCATGTGAATTTAGAGCTCCAAGTGCTAGTGCACTTTTGTCTTTTAGAGCTCTTAAAGCTGGAAGCCTGTTGTGCAGCTCTTCTGTTTGTGCCTCCTTGTAAGAGAGCATTTCTTTGGTTATTGTGTTAAAGGTTGTTCTACCCTTTTGCTCTATTAAAGAGAGCTTTTTCCTTTAGTTGTTGTGGCATACATTTATTTTACTCTTTTGAGATGAGTAATTTTGATTTAAGCAGCTTTTGTGAAGGCTAGAGCCCTTTTACACTTTTCTGTTCTGAATTTGAGCATGGTTTAGTTTGTGTCATAGAGGACCTAGGTTCCCTTTGGACCCTTTTGCCATTTTAGATGCTCTTAAGTTTGTAACAGAGCTGAGCTTTTGCCGTATAGCTTCCTGTCGTAGTTTTCTCCCCTGGTTGTTCTGATTTAAGTTATTTATAAGCTAAAGATAAGTCCAGTTTTGGACCTTGTGTAAGTAAGTATTATTTTTGGTATAGTTATCCCGTTGTCACTGTAAATACTAATTACACCATCAGTTTGCCGTTTAAAAACCGGTAAGCATAACTTCAGTAATAGTCTAATCCTCGGACATCCCTCTCAGAACCTCCTAGACTACAGAGGGGGATGCAAAAGTGAGATTAATAATCTGTTCATAAATCTCCCTTATATAAAACTTTAAAGCCTAATTAATAACACACCATATGTGGATTTATTCAATGAGAAACAAACAGCGAGTAATGACATTTAATAAACGCGTGTACGGTTTTATTGTAACGTTCAAATTCAAGTGTTTACAGCATTTCAGTATGTTTATAATGCAGCCTAGTTAAAATGTAACAAACTGATTATCCAAATGATGCTGTACTTGTCCTAGACGACCACTATCCAGTGTGTTTTAGTTGTTTCCCTGCTTTAACGCACCTGCTTTTGTCAGCAGGTTATTGAAAGGCTTACATAGCTTGATGACTGAACAGGTGATACGACCATTGAATTTAGTGTGTTGGGAAACACCTAAAACATGCTGGATAGCAGCTGTCGTGGCTCAGCGCTGCCCACCCCTGATGTAACATTGTAGAACATAATGGTTACGTTCTCTACAGAACACAGTGAGGTTCACAGCAGCGCAGAGTGTTAAACAAAAGTCTTCTTTGGGTCTGGTGTAGCACAGAGAGTTTCAGGAGATCCTTCCAGCCAGCATCCATCACCCTCTGGGACATGTCATTACCTGCGCATCAGTTATTAGTTCACTTTAAAAAAAATAAACCCTGCTACAATTCTGATGCTACCTAGTGGGATTAAACTTTTTTAACACCACCATTCTAGCAACATTAGGAACTTGACAAGAGTCACTTTTGCACTAAACTTAATATTAATAATATACAGGCAATAATTAAAGAAAGCAGCTAATATGCACAAGACAGTGTAGGTACTGATCAGGCCGGAACAGTTCGGGTGCAAAGACAACACAGGGTCAGGTGACTGGAACAAAGGTGACTGGTGTGGGTAGTCCTACTGCAAAGGGAAAGAAACTTCTTGTGGT